CGTTTGGTTACCTCTCGTGGTGCTGGTGGTGGGCCCAGTAAACTATTTAAAGAACTATGAGGTCCCAATACAGTTTGAGTTTCACTTAAATGAATGGACTGTGGTCCTGGAATATGACAATATGAGGAGTGGGAGCTTATACCAGAGTTTGGTCGATGGCAGCTAGTTGTTGCAGGATTCAGGGCGCTGCTAACACGTCTGTTATTTTTGAAACCAGTTTTACTATTAAGTAATCTTTTGTCATTTGATGTGTGGTGTCTTTGAAAGACACTGAGTGGAGCACTCGTTGGTCTGCCTTTAAGTTTCATAATCTTAATCTGTGAAACTGGTGTCTGGGGGGAACTGGTAGGAGGAGGGTGTGGGGAAGAAGGGGGATTACTATAAACATCTGAAGCATAACTATCAATGATCTCTTCCAATATGATAGGGGGAGGGGAGTCTTTTTTCTGTTTGACTTTCATATCTTGTAAACACATATCCGCATTTACCTCTCTTCTGGCTAGTGTTTGTAATCCTGTAACTGGAGTCATGTGATTTGAATATGTCGTAAAAGATGAATATGGACGTGATTTACCCTGCGTATTAATATCTCTTTTTACTAAGGATGGGCGCTCATTTTCCAAAAGGATTTTCTCTGAGGCACTCATGTAACTGTAGACACTAGCTCGCGATGGATCACGATATAAGCTATCACAGCTGTAAGATCGCGTCAGAGATGTTTGGTTTTGTCGGTCTTTTTCGATCGTCTGAACTTTATTTAAATCCTTTTCACGGAAACTCAAATTACTGTACGGGAATTCTCTAGATCGTTTGTCCACAGGCTTTGCAGAACCAAATTGATATTTTCCAAGTTTAATGGCAACTTCGATATTTGTTAATACATTCTGAATAGTTTTGGTTTCAGTATGATCACCACCTGCAAGAAAAAATAATGATGATAATTATGGTACATAATTCTTCCTCTTGTAAATTCACATAGAATCTAGGTACAATGATTGTCAACTAGAATAAAGACTTGATGTCCATATAACTCCATGAATTTATAAATTTATTGAACGCTGAGTAAAACTATTGATGGTTATATAGAGAATCTCCTACCAGCTGCAGTGCCACTGTCTGGTCAAAATTTTCCTCATTTTATTTCACTGTTTTTGTTCATGAATTTAGTTGCACTAAATCAGCCTTCCAATCATCGCCAGCTGATTGACAGGTCTTGTTTATCAACACTATTTTATATAAAATATTATAGACTGCTTGGAATATAAAATATTTTAATTCAGAACATCGTAGATGCAGCAAGTCAGCCAATGTGTTAAGGACCTTGTAAAAGTAAAATGAATTCTATTCTTGCTTCATATTGAGGCTTTAACTTTAAGCTGGTGTTGTTTTTCTTACCTAGGTATTTAGTTTTAATATCTAATGATCTTGATAATAAATTAACAGCTTCCATTTTAGCCAGATAACTTGAATCTTCTCCAATCAATCGACCTGGTTCAAAAAATGAAATAACTACAAATTCTTCAATGGGTGCCATGTTGTATAAAACTAGAATATTATCCAGAGAGAGTGAAATGGGAGTTAAATATACCACTAAACACTAACTATGTCATTTCAGGACTAAAGTATGGATACGTGGTATATTTGATGTAAACAGACTGGAGGACAGTGAACCAGCGGCTGCCAGGCAGGATACGCCCACATTTTTGAGAGATGGATAGAAAACAAGCTAAACGAAAGTGATTTTTATTACAATCAAGGGCCATAATTCAGGAAATTACAATTCGATATGCGCAAATATTGAAAGGATCCAAGATCTTTGGGTTATAAAAATACATTTCAAGTTTCAACAAAATTGGATAAAAATTGTGACCTCTATAGGGTCCACAACCTTGATATACCATATTTTTACACAATTTGAGAATGAGGGGCGGCCATTTTGTCTGTCAGTTTTGGGCCGATATTTCACGAAATTCGAACTCAGTCGTCCTTAGGGTGTAACAGTGATATAATAATATGTTTTTTTAAATCGGATAAAAATTATGACCTCTATAGGGTCCACAAGCTAAAAACGCAATTTTTGGTACAATCAGGGGCCATAATTCAGTAAGTTACGGTCCGATATGCGCGAATATCGAAAGGAACCAAGATCTTTGGGTTATAAACTTACATTTCAAGTTTCAACAAAATCGGATAAAAGTTGTGACCTCTATAGGGTCCACAACCTTGATATACCATATTTTTACGCTACTTGAGAACGAAGGGCGGCCATTTTATCTGTCAGTTTTGGGCCGATTTTCACGAAATTCAAACTCAGTCGTCCTTAGGGTGTAACGGTGATATATTAACACGTTTTTTTAAATCGGATAAAAATTATGACCTCTATAAGGTCCACAAGCTAAAAACGCGATTTTTTGTACAATCAGGGGTCATAATTCAGGAAGTTACAGTCCGATATGCGCGAATATCGAAAGGAACCGAGATCTTTGGATTATAAACTTACATTTCAAGTTTCAACAAAATCGGATAAAAATTGTGACCTCTACAGTGTTCACAAGCCAAAAACATGATTTTTCGTACAATCAGGGGCCATAATCCATGAAGTTACGGTCCGATACATGCCAATATCGAAAGGGACCGAGATCTTAGGATGATAAACCTATATTTCCAGTTTCATTGAAATCGGATAAAAATTGTGACCTGTAGACTGTTCACAAACAATTGTGGACGTCCGGACTCCGGACGGACGTCCGGACTCCGGACGGATGTCTGGACGGATGTCTGGACGGACAGATGGACAGGGGCGACAACAATATATGTCCACATGAAAATGTGGGCGTATAAAAATCCAGAGAAACATCAAAACAAGGTTAGGTAGGCAATCCTATTCAGCGTCACATTGATCCTATGACTTGCATCAATTACAGCTCTACAGAGGATGCAATCAGACCACTCAGATCTCCAGCCAGCAATTCAATGTCATGATTTTATCAGAATTTGTTATTGTGCATCCCCTGATCAACTTCTGACCTCTTTATAACAAGCTGCATTTTATCTTTTGATGTTAACTTTTGGCTCCTGAAACAAGGTTTATACAAAGCAGGCGTAGGTGTTGGGTAAATTTTTCTGCTGGTGGCCTTTGACCCCCAAAGTTATATTGAACCCAGCAACCTTACACTTCTGAAATCAAACTATCGCTCTAGATAGCTGTAAGTAAAACACCCATTACCACTTCTTATTTTTGTGTTACTTTAGAACATTACATACCTAGTTCAAATAAAACTTCAGCAACTAATAAACCTTCACTACCAAGACATTTCTCTCTAATACACAGTGCTCTTCTATAAAATGATTCAGCATGAATTCTATCATATCTAGAAATGAAATTAAATGTGGTTTAACATACTACTCTTCTGCTCCTACTGGGCTAATGAAGATGGGCATATTCGCTATGCAGTGTACTATGAGAGCAATTTTGCCTGGACCGCGGCACTATGGCCTACACTTATTTAAAATTCCAACTGTCAAGGGTTCTTTTACATGCACGCTAATTACCAGGCCCTCCCAATGACAAAGGGGACCTTCAGGTCCCATCCACTAAGCCACCATGGCTCCCATCATATCTACTCTAGACAAATAAACATAAATAAATAGATTTCATGTATTACATATTATAATGACATCCAAGAGAATTTAGAAGCTGCCATCATTCAGAATGTTGGGTTCATTTACATGCACGCCAATGCGTACACGGGACACGCCAGAAAAGAAACTGTCTTTGCCAGCACAGGGATCGAGTCTGGGACCTCCAGGTTAGTGAACCAGCGCCTTACTTACTGAGCCACCATATAACAACCAGAGCCCCCCTTAAAAAGCGTTACGGTTAAATAATCCCAAGAAGGAGACGATTACGATTATCACGTTCAAATCTACAAGTTGATTGACATCCAAACATTTTTAATGCCAGTATGATATTATTAGAAAAACGGTCAAATGAGAGTGCTGAACAACAAACATTTATTTGTGACTTAGTATGCTTTCACACTGATATTACCTGAACCAATGTTTGAATTTATTCTGACAGGATTGGAATTCATATAAGCAAATGAAATGGACTAATTTCACTGCAAAATATCAACATAGATTAGGGCATTGTTGTGTTCACATTGAGATTCTATCTGAACCTTGAGATGATTTGTATCTGAAGTTAATATCCACAGACTAATATATTTACCCTTTGATATTAAGTGGATTAGAGAAAAGTCGAGCTAAAGCTATAAGATTATCTGCTACCAGTATATTAGATTTACCACCCTGTCGTTCTCGTATAGCTAATGATTCTTGTAAACAAATCTCCCCATTTATATAATCCCCTTCTTCTAATCTGTAAATATGTAATAAAAATAACTCCTTGAAAATCTTGTTGTTTTTATAAATTTATATTGAAATATAAAAATAGTAAGTAATTATTATCAACATATAACTGGTCAGAATGAAAAATGCTATACTACATCTGTCGCTAAAAGTCATAACTGACCGTCTGAGGGTTTACTTTCATAGTTCAATGTGATATTTTAAAAGTGAAAAGTAATAAATCAGATTATCAGTATTGTCAAAATCAACTAAATGCAATTTAAAATTCAAACAAGTCAGGCTACATATTTCTCGAAATTCAACTACTAAATACATGTATAACAAGTGTACTACCTCAAAACTCCTAAATTATATTCAATGTTTGCTGCCATTGACTTGTCACCATGGAAATCCCGAAAGCAATCCAATGCCTCTTTAAATAAATCATCAGCCTCGTAGAAATTACCTTCCTTCATTTTCATTTTACCTAGTTGATTTAACATATTACCTATAACATAATAATATGTATTTTACCTAGTTGATTTAACATATTACCTATAACATAATAACATATATTTTACCTAGTTGATTTAACATATTACCTATAATATAACATAATAACATATATTTTACCTAGTTGATTTAACATATTACCTATAATATAACATAATAACATATATTTTACCTAGTTGATTTAACATATTACCTATAACATAATAATATGTATTTTACCTAGCTGATTAAACATATTACCTATAATATAACATAATAAATATTTGATAATCACACAAAAAAGATATTGTTCTTTTGAGGTTAATTAACCACCAAGACAGTGGAGCTACAGTCTACTCTTCTCTCTAACTTCAACTATCAAGGGCTCCTTTACATACAAGCCAATGTGTAAACAGGACCTTGTTTTTTCAACCCACCCAAACAACTTCAGCTGAGTCATAATAGTGGTATTTTTAGACTATACTTCCCAGCAGAAAATAATAGGATAGAACACAATATTGAAAGATCAGGACGCAACATCTCAAACCAGACTTAAAGATCAGCTCTAACATACCTTTGAGCATTTGTATCTCGCTTTCATATAATCTTTCATCATCACCATCACTTAATTCTAACACAGCTCTTAAAGCTTTTTTATAATATATATAACTTTCTGTATTATCACCGTTAACCAGATACAAATTACCCACACATTCCAAACTACGGGTATAGATTAATTGTTCAAATAATCCAAACGGATAATTCTTAAATAAACAAAAAAAATTCAGTTATAAACAAATTGTCAATAAGCTCTTAAACACCTATAACATTAATAACTTAAAACTGTTTATTATTACTACAATAGCATTACATTACTGAAAATTTTTCACAAATCATAAAACATCATGATATATTCTTAAATATTTATAACTTTCTAAGCTATTCAAAACAGGTCATTATAAATTATTACTTTTTATTGCAGAAAATGGAAAGTGCTCTCACATGATACAACTATATGTAGCATTGCAAGATGACAAATATATTCCCACAAGCAATCTTTTGAAGGGTGACTGTCAAGTTTTTGGGGTCAAAGCCAATAACTAAACATAAGATTGACAGGTGTGAAACAGATGGGGTACAAACTTATTTCAATAATTCGCTTGTGCATAGGGGTCGTTTGCAGTAGGAGGAAACCGTAGGACCTAAAGCAAACCCACCCGGTGTGGCAGGCGACCCTACTCCTGATCTTTACATGCTTGGGATTGAAACCATGTCACCTGAATCAATGATAGATCTAATGATCTAAAGCGCACAGATTAAACTACTCAACCACATCCATCCTTAAAAATATAAATTAAAAAGTAAGAAATTTACCTTATGGAGATAATCAGCAAGAGCAACTAATATTTTTAAAGTAGTATTTTGATAACCTAGTTCTAATAATAACTGTGATACATGCCAGCTTAATGAAACTAACTGACATAATGTTAGCTTTGTTTGTGTTCTTGAAACTGAAAACAGAAATAGCATAATTCATAATTAGCAAGCCTTTAAAAAACCAAATCAATATACATGTATATGGCATAATAAAACACATTTTTTTACATGGTTGATGATTTTACGGCACTATTCTAAGATGCCCACAAGCAGCAAAATCATCAGTTGTAGCTTTAACATCAATGTCAACTAATCCTGCAGAGCAAGTTTTAACAATCCAACAATTTTAAAACCTTCAGAGAACTTTGTCCCCTATCGCTTTCACAGCTTTAAAAGTAAAAATGTGAATGGAAAGATAACTCTGCATAATGTTCTTGCTGCTTAAGGGTTAATAACTCCATTATTAACATTCCTAATTTTAATACAGTATGTATGCCCTGTATCTAGTTCACAAGTTATAGAAACAGGCTTGCAATTTACAATCCCAATATATTAAAATTCAATAGGGTGTTTCATCATACCCTAATCTAAAAGCTTTCAAGAAATTGAGAACAGATGGTAGTGATGACAATATACATCCACATTAAATATGAGCGTATAAAAAGTAGTAAAATTAATTGATGTTAGTACCTTTATTTTCATCATCATCATCATCCTCTTCTTCATCATCAGCAACACAAGAGTCATTTGTTATTCTTCCACTACAACTTGACAATGTCTTAAAATAAATTTTTCAATTATAAATATTTCTTTAAAAACATAGACAGGAACTTGTCATACCAGATTATACAGTATTGAAATAGTAATTTATTGAGATAAAAGATATTATCTCCATGGCATCAAAAAGTACAAAACACAATTTTGTTTCTTCAACTATAAATCTTTAAAGATAAGATGGACGACAAAGTGCTACCAGATTTTCCAGCCTGGTTTCCCACTGTCGAGTCATTCAGATGGTACAAAAACAACATGTTAAAGAAACCCCAGGAGTCGGAAATCAAAGTAAGAGTAGTTCGTATAGCATCGCTGTCAGGGCAAAATTTCCCATAGATGGCACACTGCATGGTTCTTGCCCATTTCAGTAGTCTGGTAGGTCCAGTCTGTATAATCATTTGTTATATTAATGCTCGTTTTCCTAAGAGATAACTTTATTTCTGTTCCATACACAACCGTTCCACAAACATTATAACCTTGTATAAGATTTGTAAGTTTTTAATCCCCATGTGAGAAGAAACAACATGGCTAGAATAGTTATCTAATTTTACCTTGTCTGTTTGACTTTTAACTTCTTCATTTTCATTTTCTTCAATAACTGACAGTTCCCGGTCCCCCAGTGATGTCTTTATTTTATTACTGATATAAGCATTTATTTCTTTGATGTCAGCATTGTCTTCATCAAAGGAGATATTAGTATTTGACTGAAAGAAAAGGGAATATATATTTCTATGACTTCACTATTGCTTCATGGTCGTCCTCCTATATGAGCATATTCGATTACCCAGATCTCAAGAGTTTGATACATTTAGTTAAACTAGAATTAGCTGCATATGATTGGCTGAAATTTAAATTTGTTCAAGTTTTTGTTTAAAAACTTTAATTAAATAATCAGAAAATTACAAAGTTTATATCAAGGAAGGCATGGGGATAAAATTCTACAGACAACTTTCAAAATGTATGTCTTTGAAATTTTGTATAATTCATTAATACATTGGCCATAACCATATAACTCCAGCAATTATTATCTTCAACACAAAGAATAACATTCCTTTTCAAAGATAAAGATATTATTATCTAAAATGTCATCAGAATTTTAAAATTTTCAAAATTAATTATGTTCTTTGTTTTGTCATTCAGAAAATATGAGCAAGTGAAAAAAAGAAAATAATGTGTCAAGGGAGATAACTCCTATATTTCTGCCTATGTCACATGTACCTTGAAAATGACAGTGCAACTTATCAGCTAAATCTCTTGTATGTAACCACTGAATTGAAATAAAAGAAGCACGAAAATTCCAAATTTATTGGCATCAATTTGTAAAATTTGAAACATATAACATCTGAGTTTTAAAACATATATTTTAAAGGTAATCATGGCTTTGAATATAAATCATGAGCCGAAAAAATCCTTCATGATTTTTCAGTAAAATATCCTCCCTACCTGATGATCAATATCTAGTGTCGTTAATCCTAGAGATGCTAGATATTGTGTATAAATATAAACAGGACTGTAGCCACTTTTAACCAAAACCTTCCAATAATACATCAAATTTAACCGATCAGACGGATTTTTCATATATTCATCTAACAGACTGAGTAAATATCTGTAAGAAAAAAAAATGTAAGTATCTCACAGCAGAAACTACAATTTAGCTGTTAAATTTATTTAACTATAATAGGTGTGACACAAATTGTTTGAAAGTCTGCAAAATTTACAAAATTTATGGGGGAACCTGTACCACTCCCAACCTGAGGACAGCCTTCGCAATAGGTAACACAGAAAGGGGTTTGTTATTCCCGCTTATATGATCGCCATCACTATTGTCTTGCTAGATCTAAATCCATTGTTAGACAGATCGACGAATGGTAACGAAAAAAAAAATATACATCCACAAATTATGGACATACTTAAATGGGGACTTTTCTGCTCCATCTGGGCTATTCTAGGGTGACCCTTCCACACTCTCCATATCGCGCTACATCGGCTGCTGCGCAGCCTCGTGCCTCCGGCATCACAGATTGTCAACATTTTATATAATTTCATTTGCGGACCCCCCCCCCCCCAATATATGTTTCACAGCTACGCCTCTGTATACAGCCTACTCTTGATTCAAATTCCAATCATTTAGGGCTTTTTTACGTGCACACCAATGTTTACACAGTACCTCGGTTTTTCTTCCAATCCGAACAACTACACACTAAGCCATGAAATGGGGTCAAGTATTTAACATAAGGTATGTCTGTTTCCCCATTTCCTCTGATATATATATTGTAAAACAAAATAAGTATACCACAACCCAACCTGTCATGTGTTAAAATTTGAATTAAACTGTCAAAGTTGCCAGCCATCATTAGTTGCCATGGCAACTCCTCTAATTGTCTGTGAGAAAATGGTTGTTCAATAAAATACATGGCTAAATGTTGATGAAGTATTCTCTTTTGATTTGTATCTTCTGTTGGTCGTATTTCACCAGCAGCTTGTTTTACACTTTCTAAAATAAACATTATCAATAAATATGTAGATACATGTAATATTAAATTTTCAAGAGAGAGAGAGAGAGAAATCGGGTTTAACGTCCACTCGACACAAACCAGGTCATTTCGGGACTAACGTATGGTTTTAATTTTATTTCAATAATTCGCTTGCGCGTAGGGGTCTTTAGCAGTGGGAGGAAACCTGAGGACCCGGAGAAAACCCACGAGGATGGACAGGTGACCCTACGCCTTGTCACGTACAACCGGGGATTCGAAACCATGCCAGTTGACTCAATGACAGGCCTTATGATACAGCGCCCGCGTGCTAACCATTCAGCCATCCAACCCCCTTTAAATTTTCAAAAGATGTTGAATTTTAAAATCTAACTATTTTTTAATGGATAAGTTAAAATTTCTAATTAAATATACAAGAAAAACATGTATTCAAACAACTTTATATTATTTGAAACTAAATATTTACATATAACAAGATTTTGAAGAAAGTGCAGTCAGATGTTTGAACTCCTGGACTAAAGTTCTGTTTGTGCTACATGGCAGTAACTGAGGCCTAAAACTTAAGAGCTTCTGACTAAAATATAGTACTAAGATTTAATCAAGTTATGTACATAATTAGCAATCTAAAAGTTTTTTCTTACTGAAAAGTTTATATTCTGCTACTTCTATGAGGTGTTGATGAGAAAACTTGAGTAAACCATTTATTTCACATAAACTTGATCCTAAACATTCTCGTACAGCTAACCAATCTAACATAGACACTGTTCTTCTTCCTTTATATCCTAACTGATATAATAACGACAGAATTTCACGTTGTGTTAAACCATTCCTAGACAGTACAATAAGTCGTAAAACATCTGGAACCCAACCCATTGTTTCTGAAATTTCAAAATATAGAAAGTTATATTTTTTTTTAAAATCTTTTTATTTACCGGACCCATATTTCAAAATAATCATACTTGTAAAATCTTCAGTGATATGCCATATATAAATGATGATCAAAATTTGATAATTGGGAGCTCTGCATGCCCACCATTTGTGGCTTGTGACAAAAAACGATATAATTTGAGAACACTAATGACATTTCTTCTGTTTACGAATGAAGGAATTTACGTCTTCTACCTACTTGAAGCCATAATTTTGTCTTTGCTCAACCTGATCAAAACTAGTTTTTTGTGCTCCGTTTATTAGGCTTGCCACTCCATTAATATGCCATGTTCATGGCCTATTTACATCAGTATTATAGTAAGAAAATACAGATTGGATTCTATCATACAAGGTCTATCACAAGATTGTCAACTCCTTTGCAGACATACTGATAATTCATTTACCATAGGGAATGGTCAATCATTGGGGATCTGCATTTGTTAATTAATGAATAACATTGAATGTTATTGGGTGATCATCATTACAATATATATATACTATCTTTTGACCCACAGATAAACAAATGAAGGCAGTTCTACTCTGATTCTGCCATTATCTAGTCTGGGGTGGTGCGTGTCACCATGACAAACATATGTGATGAGATTACAGAAGTGTCTAAGATTATACTTCTACGTTAAATTCATTTTACCTCGTTCTTCGTCTGTACAACTATCTCCATCAAATGGTGAGTCTAATCTCCAGTTATATACATCTACCCAGCGTTTATAACTCTTAATCCAGAATTCACGAACACTACATAGTTCATAATGATCATCCAGATATTCATTCAGGCTGGTAAAGACATTGAAGCACGACATCTCAGATGCCAAAAGTCGGAGAAATAATGGTTTGTCCGTTAATTTAATGTCTAAAACTTGCTTTAAGTTATGTTTGCTCAATTTCTCGTAATTATGTTTCATATTTTCCATTAAGATCAGTTGTTTCTGCTGTGATTCAAAAAGCTTTTTGACGTGCACAATCTTCACATCTGCTCTTTTGGACAATGAATGACAAGTCAGATCTGATCGTGATGTAGTCACTATTAATTTACACTGTGGTGGCAATGGAAAAGGCAGCCAATTAAAATCCTTCACCTAAAAATAGACAAATATTCAAATAAATTCTTAAAATGATATCTTTGTCAATAATCATTTTAATATGACTCTTTAGTAAGGTATTGTTTCTAGTTTGGGTTGTTGTGAGGTTTTTGGTTGTTTTGGGGTTTGGTTTTTTTTGCCTTTTTTGTGCTCAAAATGCACTTCTCTGACACTAAAAAATAGTAATCACATGATTCGTGGTAGGCCTATTTGGCTACAGAATACAAAGACATATGGCATAATAATAAACTAAAAAAGAATTTGAACTTACCTCTTGTGGTGTTTGTCCTAAAGAACCTGAGAGTTCATCCAACCCATCTATCACCAAGAGACAAGGTAGAGAAGAAACAGCTGCTAGAAATGCTTCTGATAGTTCCTGAAATGTCTTTGTTTGATCTAATTCTGCAAATGATTCATGCTTGGATTTTTCTGAATATAAAAATAGCAAACAAGGATAAAGAATTGAGTAAATATTTGACATTTCTGCTAAAAGACAAGAAGAGTACAATGATGATGAATAAATTTGTCCTATCATTAGTAAGCTTATATAACAATGACCTTGTCAGGACATGGAAGAGTTTGGGTTTAACATCCACACAACACAAACTGAGTCGACTTTAGCAGTGAGAGGAAACCGGAGGACCCAGAGAAACTCCATAATGTTGGGCAAGTAACCCTACTCCTTGTCACGTACAAGTTTAGGGTCGAAACCACGTCAATTCAATTACTGACAAGACCTTACGACCTAAAGCGCAAGCACTCAACACGCATGATAATGGGGATCTTCTGCTACAACTTATCATTATTATTGATATACAATACATGTACCTTTTAATGTTTTTTTGATGTCAGCAACACATCTCCGTAAAATAACAGCTATATCTGTACTATTCTGACTACATCCAATAAAATGACTGATTATCATCATTTCTGGATGGGTCGGACGAAACTCTTGCAGCCATTTTGCTATAAGAGATGATTTCCCAATGCCTTTATCACCTGATATTACTAATAGCGAATCATACTGGGCAACAGTTTGGTTTCTGAAAAAAAAAATTTTCAACAACTAACAGAAATTAGATGTAATTTGGCAATATATGTAGCATTAACATTATATTCTATCGAACGCATTCAGGCAATTGTGCAATCCTCTTGATAATCTTAAACTGAAAATATCATTTTTGTACTGCTCATCTGACAACAAATCATAGATTTAAATTACCTATTAATGCCCACAATAAATTTTTGAGTCTGGCATTAACAACTTATAGATTGCTCGGAAACTTCAAGTCCGTCCATTCACCATCTTGCAATTAAGACTATACTAGTTATAAAAGTAACTACTGTAAAAGCTTCTTCTGATATATCTTAAAAAATATGAGATTTTGGGGTAAATAATATTTCCCCTGTAGTTTAGGCATATTTTCCACCAAACTGTTATGTATTTCGGATCAAAAAATCTAGTATCATTCAATATAAACAATTAGCACATTCCCAATTTCATGGCATCTGCCAATGTTTCATTTGTTTGATACCTCAGCATTAACTCTATTTAAAACCCAAGAATATATTTCCAGACATTTGAAAATTAGACAACAAAATTTTGGTCATATGAATTGACTGAATAAAAGGTGGACTTCAATTCACATCTGTTTGAATGTGATCACCAGACTATCAGGATCTGAGAAATATGACCAAAATGAAGACTTTATAATGTACCAATATATCAGACATTTGCTAATAAAGCCGATTTCACTCTATCAAATGGCGAATACATAGTACAAGGATTTTTGTTTTGTTTTGTTTTTTCCTTGGATAATCATAGCACCGTATAGAAATGTTTATTTTAGATATATCATGTTGGTACTACTTCAGATTTTTTACATGACATTATCTTAAGACAAACCTTTTCAACAGGTAGTTACTTAATGCAGACAATTGGAATCTGGACAATTTATTAGAATCCACATCTGCTGAGGGTACTATTTCTGTGGTTAATGCAAAATCAGTCAATTGATTCGTGATATCTTCTGCCATGTCGGAACCAACATAGTTTTCTAGACGAGTCAAACCATAGCACTGTTGACACACCCATTCTCGGTATTCTTCCGTTTCTGTAGATAGATAAACATAGGTTGCCAGGCAATGAAACATATGTCCACCAGCAGCTAACCAACAAGACCGCAACTTAATTGAAGCAAGTCTCTTACAAGACTTTTTAAGAAAGGAGACAAACTCTGGAAGTTATTATCGAAAACCAGTAGGGTTCTTCCTTTCAATAGGATAGGCCATCAGTATAATGTTCAGACAGGTTAATGTTTCTGGATTATTGCAGTCGCTGGTGAAGTGCTGGGTATTGCCACTGCAGTCACGCACGATATGATACATATTGAGATTCATGTGCTATGATACGATTCGTATCACGATTCATAACCAGGTCAATATTTACCAAGAAAACGACAAGATAACTGAATAACTGATAATTTTAGTCCCGCTGATGTCAAAGAAATAAAATTATTTTATATCATGATATTGATGTGAATCAAAATAAGGAGCATGACGATTTAAGAGTGTTTGTGTACCTATGGATAATGTTTGACATGGATAATTAAGAGTGACAGGTTACTTTTTGAAGGGACAAAAAACCCCATAAAAACAGAATCCCGATACATCGATTCAGAGCGTCTCGCGATTCAATACACGAATCGTGGAAGGTGAAAAGCGATACATTGATTCAACGTTATATTGTGCCAGCACTACCGTATACTAACAAGAAATGTGAACGACAGATGGACTGATGAGGGTGACAGTAATACATTGTATATACAACCATAATGAAGGTTGCTAATACAAAAAAAGGCTAATAATACAGTATTAACAGTAATATGAAATGAAAAGGATGAACAAAAATAATCCAGGTATCCTATCATGCAACCAGTAGATCTGAAAAAGATGACTATACTCAGAGAGTTACAACCAGAACTTGGCACATATAATAATACATAATTACATGTAGCCTGTATAACAATAGATGCTAGATACGTAATTACGGTATATAACAATATATAGATGATGATAGATTAAATGATGTAATATTACAGAGACAGATGATATTTATTTATATACTTATTTGAGCAAGAAATATAGTTTTCCCGGTAGTTATTATATATTCTCCAATCAAACATTACATGATCAGAACCTAAATTGTCAAAGGAATATACCGTTATTCTATTTCATCAAATGTGGATTACATGAGAATATGTAGGCAGTAGGCATTATATCAAGGAACTATTATTAGTTATTAGTTATTAATATATCAAAAAAAAATTACTGTACAAAAATAGGCAAATTCACTAATACATGTCTAGGTAATTAATTGATACAATGGTTCAAACCACAGATTAAGTTCTATTATTTATTATAGTCACATCCAGGCAATATAAATCTGGATTTATGTATTATTATCTATACAATAACTTTATATATAATATTTATAACTTCACCTACAGCTATAGTATCATAACATAAAAAGGTCGTGTTCAACCATGTGAATAATTATTCTTTAATGGGGTTTGTCACAGATGTTGCAAACAAATTTAAATTATTTATTACAAATTAATTATGTAAAATAGAGAAATGTAAAAAATGATGATTTGTTCATACATGATGTATTTCAATTATATAGATATCATTCAAACTGAACTGTATAAATAGTTGTACAACTATTTTTCTTGAATTTTTAGGACCAAAAAGTTTGCCTATTTATCCTCTTAACCAATGCAAAGACATACATGCATCTCGGTATGACCGATGACACTGTATTCAAATTTATAATTATTTTTTCCAGGCTATTATATTTGTTATTTGTAGTCCGACATGATTTACCCAAATCCACCCAGATCTACCATTATTTCAATTCATATTATAATAATTTATATTTGATAATATACTCTCCTTTATGCCAAATTGGCATTTTAATTTAAAATCGTAACGTTTTTGTTTCAAAAATGCCCCTCAAAATGCAATTTCCAAGCAAGCGATTTCGTGCAATACATAAGTTATGTCCCTGGTTACACCTTCAAAACATCCTTGGAAATCACATTTTGTGGAGCATTTTCAACACAAAAACGCTACGATTTGCAATCAAAAATGACAATTTAGCATAAAGAACGATATATGAATGATATAAATTATTGTGATATGAGTTAAAACAATGGTGAATTTGGTTCCAACTTAGAAACTTACATGTAAATTGAGGGGCATTTTGACACAAAAAAATTACGATTGTAAGTTAGAAATGGCAATTTGGTATAAAAAACAGTATATTATTTAATATTATAAATTATTGTTTTTTAAGTTCAATAAGTTGAAATAATTTTGGATTTGGGTAGATTTGGGTGATTTGCGTAAATCGTACTATCCTTTGTAGTCCAAGTAGAAAGAAATGAAACAATATGTGACTCAACATCCTGTTGTCATCTATGAAGATAATTTGGCGACAGCAGTGTTGACTTCCACCTGCTGTGCATCAACTTCATACCATCTAGGGTACACAGGTGGATCTTGTATTTTTGCCCCATTCAAACAACTAGGGTTTTTCAGGCCATCCATCCTGCACAATTATAACTGGCAAGCAGAAACCAGGCTGGAAAATCCTGAGAAGCTATCTCTGCCAAACCCGCGACCTACTGTTTAGTGAGCAAGCATTACACTCACTGTGGCTCCCGAAGAGGAGACAATATAGATTTGAATAAATCAAAATTGGATAATTGTACTATTTTGCTGAAAACAGCTAATACAAATTAAAGAATATCAGTTACTATTTAATTTGCTGCATATTTAAAAATATTAAACTCTTCATTTCAATTCTCCATAGAATTTTGAAAATCACTCACTTAGTACACTTTTAAAATACAGCTTAATTTTGTGTGAAAGGCCCTTAAACCCTTACAATCCTCTACCATAGGGCTGACCAACTAACTCAATCTACCTAATACGTTTTCAAACAACTTCAACCTGTTATTATAGTCTTCATCTGGAAATGGAGACCGGTGTCCCAAGCTATTTTATATACGCTGCTGGATAAAACCAGACTTTTATTTTATAAAAATAACGTGCAGGTGAAATTTACCTTTCGTTATCAAGTGCACATGTGTACAGACTTTTAAAGGAACAGTAATAGATTATCAGGTCTACCAATGAAAAAACTGACCCGAAATCTTAAAAGGGTTACGTGTCCGGATAAGTGGTTTTGAAGTTCACATCCAAACGACCCAATATTTTGAGCTGAAATTTTGAGACAAGGTAAATACACCATTTATCTATATTTTGGTGCTTAAATTTAATACATACATAGACTTTTATTTCTGAGACTCTGTTAAAATCGGGACGGTCCTTTTAATGTTGTAGCAATAATTTAATGGTTGTTTACAATATTTTATTTGTTTCTAGCAGTAATTTAAAAGTTGCTAGCACTATTTGTTACAGCTAGGAAAAATCCTTCTATAATCACCACTCATTTTGAGGGTTAGATCTGACTGTCCAGCTTTTCTTACAAAACTACATGTATATGCTGAGTGGTTGAAATATCTTTTGAGGTGTGGTAAATCGACAATGATCAAACGCTTGCTATTTTAATGAATGTGAAATAAATATAAGCTCAGTAATTATTGATAGAAGACTATTTTTAGTTGATCATTAGATTTTCATCATGTGGATGGCATATGTAGGAGTACAGAATCACTTGGCATCAGTGCAGATCTTATCTAAATACTAAATATATTATGTACCACTTGCATCAAAGTTCATAGTGGTAATGATATCCACTGTGTATTTATATCAACTTTTATCAAATAATCTACTATATATATAGGCCATAATGCTGTCTTCAATATAATAATCATGCTTGGCACCACAGCTAACTCCATCCACCTTACAAGACCCATAAATATACACAAGGACTTAACCATAATTTAAGGCTATTGGACACCACGCAATCCCTATATTCCTGAAGCAATGGTAACATCAACTTCATATTTAATAGATTTATACATAAATATTATGCTTAATAGTTGTTCATTTTAAATATTATCCAGCTGTTCCATCTTTAAGTTAGATTGTTTATTGAAAACGAGAAACAAGTGTGAAATAATATATTAATATTCTATCAAATGTTTTAATAAATATATAAAATATGACACAAGATATAATATTTGCCTCAGTATCCTGTTTTAATATGGTTTAAGTTACATGTCACTATATCAGAGATTTATTATATGCAATAATAATTTGCTGTATATTATACATACATGTAAATGTAATATACAATGTATTGTGTTACTGTTTTTTTGTCCTCAAAGTATCTACACATGTAATTTTTGGTACCTAAAAAATAAACAGTGTCTGGAGATTTAAAAATAATCGGTGGTTATCAGGAAAGACACACCCGCACTTGACAGCTGTTTATGGGTGACTGTTTAATGTTTTCAATGGTCTACATTTAAACACTTAAAAGTAGTGTTTTTGCAGAGATGTATAGTTCATTCCAATTCTATCCGCATTAGTAGAGCCATCTGCAAGTTGAAATATCTTGGTGACAGCAACATGCAGGACACATAAGCACAGTTGCTAGAGAAAGTCTTGTTTTCATATGTAACCTATTTCTAAGTTAATGTAGGAAACAGGACCAAAGGGAAGACAATTAATCAGAAAAATAAACAGTTTAGAAAGCATATAGCAATTGTTAACTAGATGATAATGCTCATAATCAATACTTCAGGAATGTGCCAACCCCCAGTATATGCTTTGTATCGAGAGTAAATAAAATAAAACCAAGTATGAACAATCCAAACCATTAGACAAAATTCGAAGTCCTAAGAAAACATTATAGGCAAAATAGTGTAATAAGGCAAAATAGTGTAATCAGCATATGGACTGTTCACCGTGTACAAAATACACGACAAACAGTGGTAACTATTGCATATTTCTATTTTCTCTAAAGAAATCATTCTACATAAAATAAATCTTTTCATCATACTTGAAGTTGGCTATAATTATTATACAGCAGCTTTGATGGGTTTTTTTGTGAAACAAGCATAAAAATTTCCTTAAGTATTAATACTCCTGAAAATGAATAGTTGCACATGTATTTAACTTTCATATGGAATTAAATCTGGAGTTTTAACAAGGTTTCATAGGGATTTTGTATTGGATTCATACATTTGTACTTACCTAGAAAATCACCATCATTGTATAGTGGGGGATAAATCATATCAATAATAGTCATCCAGTCTTTTAATACTAGATCACCCAGTTCATTTATAGTTTTAAAATATTTCACTGGTAATCCTTTATTTATTATCCTTTGTTTCAAGTCTTTAACTTTTAACTCTGCATGTTCATTTTCTGGTAAATAATCACATTTACACCTTTCATGTTCACTCGACTCAACAACATTTAATTTTTCTTTAAGGTGTTCACTCTGTCGGAAATAGAAAGTACAGTGTTCTGTCTCTCCCAAGAATGCTGCTTGTATAATTTCTAACTCCAAAATACTTGCCATCTGGTGTGATGGTTCCAGAATCCAAGAATGACCTGTCATGGCCGCCACTCGAAAGTTTTCATCTAACGGGTCAATTAAAGGTTCATTTGGAATTGATGTAATGTTCCTGGGAAGAGGAGCGGCATTCTCTGGTCTGTAAGGTCCATATCTGTCTCCCAACAAACAAATCAGATATGGAGAACATTTCCTGGCAAAATCCAACAAAAAATGCAGCAACTGGCCATTTTTGAAATAATTATCCTTTTCTGACCACAATATGTCAAAAGGTGAAAAGTGTGCTCCCCGTTGTGAGCAGAAGTTATTTACTTTTGGGAAAATAACTTGTGAAAGAAATTGTCTCTCTGCCTCAAAATCTTGTGGTGAAGAGCAAACATATGGAGACACAGCTTTACGCAGTTCAAACTCTTTTCTTGTGGTCATCTTGAGGGTATAGATTTGCTTTCTATCTGTCAATTGCCTTCACATCCATTGATAACAACTTCTTCTCATGCCTGAAAAATAAAATGAAATACTAGTGCATGTGGTCATAAATAAATAAGACAAAGGCTCTCCATCTTAAGTTATAACCACACCATCCTCCATCTGTATAATTATGTATATTAACAATAATTTATCTTCTTTTTGTATAAAACATTGTTAACTCTGTATATAGTAAAATATTAACCATGTATATTTGTGCTTAATATATACATTAACTATAATTTATCTTCTTTCTGTATAATGGATTAAAACTATGTATATTGTGTGTAATATATAATTTATCTTCTGTTTGTATAATATATTAAAACTATGTACATGAATATTGTGTATAATATACATGTAAATGATTTGTACTGTGAATAATGTGTATAACTATGATATATCTTCTGTATAATATGTATTTAAAATTTAACTATCATTTACATGTGGGTATATTATCATATACTATAGAAGATGTTTATAAAGTCTGAATTAATTTGTGTACCTTATATGGTAATATTTGAGCTTATACCTTACCTTATACATGTACATATCTGTGATGTAGGCCTATCTGTTATGTATATTAACATGTGTTGTGTGTATATTAAGTGTGATTTATACCTCAAGCTATATGTATATTAAGTGTGATTTATCAGTGTTATGTGTATATTAAGTGAGATTTATCTATGGGGTATGTATATTAAGTGTAATTTATCTGTATTATGTATATACTAAATGTGATTTACCTGATATGTTATGCATATATTAAGTGTATACAACATGTATTTTAACAGTGATTGTCCTAAATTGTGATTTATTAGTTTCTTCAGACTTGTGTATGGTTTATTTTGTGTATAAAAATATAAAGTAGAGACATAAATGTATATAACACTAAATATCAATAAAATACTGAAAACCTCTAGTGGCAATAAAATACCTTCAAATGTTGAATTTAACTATTTTATGATAGATAAAAGGCTGATATTATTAATGTAAAACTTTTTCATAGAATACATGTAGGCACATGAAATAATTTATTTCACCAAGACACGTAAAAGATACATTCCCACAAAAGTATTTATAGAGCAGTTAGTTATTTTCAATAAAAATATTGCATATTTGGTATGGAAAGTAAACTGACTCAATCTTACTAGCAAAATACTGGATTCCCTGAAAAACACCCATAAAAGTAAGGGTATCACTAACTGGCAGCCACACTGATCAGCAGTGAAATATTCGCTCGGTCGCTACAATTACTGAAAGGGATGACATCAGTGCGGGTTAATGAGCTCACAAGATTAACTTTTTTCCTTCTGCAATTTAAATTCTAGAACATTTTTTTTTTTGAAGTATTAGAAAAATAACTAAAGTTACGTGTTTGAAGTATATTTGGATAAAAATATTTTTAATTTAGTGTAAATGGGTAGGGCCTATATAAAATGAATAAAAGAAACCATTCTGCCCAGAACCAGTTTACGCTACTATGTCTTACGTAAACAATACTCGCACCAATAGTATGATGGGACCTCACACATTTAGAAGGCATACTTGAATTTATAAAGGTTTGTCATCTTGTACAGAGGTATAAGAGGGCTTTTGCAATATGTCTGTTACCGATGACTGGCAGCCTGTCATATGTGTTGATTGAAGGGCTACCAGTTGTGAGAATACTGAGAGACTTTAGACTGCTTAAAGGGACTATCCCGATTTGAACAGAGTCTCAAAAATAAAAGTCCGAGTACGTATGAAATTTAAGCACCCAAATATAGAGAAATGGTGTATTTAGCATATCTCAAAATTTCAGCTCAAAATATTGAGCCGTTTGGACGTGAAAGTCAAAAATGCTTATCCGGACACATAACCCTTTTAAGATTTCTGGTTAATTTTTTAGTTGGGCGACCTGATAATAGATTCCCATTTCTTTAAACGTCTATACAGTGAATGACCCGTGTGCTGTACTTCATAACGAAGGGTAAATTTCACCTACACATTATTTTTATAAAACAAAAGTCTGGTTTTATCCAGACACTATATAATACAGTTTGGAAACTGGTCTCCATTTCCAGATGAAGACTGGCGGGTTTAAGTTGTTTGAAAACGTATGACAAATATTGAGTTAGTTGCTAGGCTCTTAGGTAGAGGATTTTAAGGGATTTTAACACAAAATTAAACATTTTTATTCTCCAAAATATTATCGGGATTGGCCCTTTAAATGGTGGAAAAAGAAATTGGTTTACTCAGGTTTCGACATTTATGATAAAGGGACAGCGTGTAACAACAAATACACACTGAAAATGTGACAAACATGGATACTCAAAATAGACTTTTGTCGTTTGGGGTAGTTTCTTCAGATTACAGTGTTCTGAGCAGGATCTGAAGCAAACTTTTGCTTTGAAGATATAATTAGTTTGAATACATTTCTAGTTCAAATATCACATTAAATCACACCATGTACAGCTTCAAACAACTCTAACTAACGACAATGAAAAAGAGACTGTATAATAATATGTATGCTAGTAAAAACTTGAAACTTGGAAAAGAAACAGGTTATGGAACCAATAGTTAACAAATTTAATCAACGCATTTTTTGATATCTTTAATATTCCAGAAGACAAGCAGATAGTTGGATTTCTTACTTTTATATTAATTCTAAAAAAACAGCCACCGAGGTAGTTTTCCCCCCATGTTCTCAAATCTGTTTTTATGGTCCTTCTATGCACATAGTTTATCCTTAGTTCGTAGAGGGAGTGGTTCACTGTGGTTGGCCCCATGGTCTAATGTGTTTGCTTGAGCTTGAAAGCTCTGCCATCGATGGATTTGTCATAGCTTGATCCCACACTTGTATATGACAGGGAGAATGATGACTTGTCTGTGTCTTTTGTCCAGGTTCTTCAGTTTCCTACCGTTCCTACCACTGGTAAAGAATCCATGTGTTCAAGTGAATCATAGAAATAAAAATATATATCATGTTAAATCTGAAGTGAGTTGACATTAACCCCAATGGTCTCTTAGTCTTACTTGTAATAATTTGTCTTTTTACATGGTTTGTAATTTTGAAAAATTTTTTTAAAAAATATCATTAGGTATGGTACTAATGTAACATTTCTTTTAGTTTGCTTCATAAAATGATCACATTTAACTAATTGTGCATTTGTGATGTGTGAAAATAATGTTTAAAACCAGTACAGGTGTTGACTAAGTGTAAAATCAATGTTAGGTCAATCAATGAAAAAATATAAAAAAAACCCATAAAATATCCAGACTGTGATTATTATTTTCATTATCTATCTTTTCATTTATTTAAATCATAACCATAACTGATAAGTATATAGTCTACAAACAATGATAAAATTACCCACAACCTATATTTCTTTCAACCAATAATACTGAAACACGTACGGTACGTAAAATTAACGTGGCAAATGTTTCTCATAGATTTCTTAAAAATATAATACGACACTGGATGACAGTTCTAGGATGACAGTTTTCATGCTATATTAAAATTACACGTATGTCTGCATTATTAGGGGTGGAGCCAGCCTTGGCAATCTTGGATGGGGATTTTGTGGGGTGGAGTGGAGTTGCATGGGTCTTTGTGAAAATCATATAATATATTAACCCTTATGATTTAGATAAAATGAAGATAGATAAAGTTCCCCTCCAAAAAAAGGAGTGATGCTTATATACCACTGATTAGGGGAGTCTACAACTGATTATGGGAAATGTAGGCTATATGTTGATGGATCTCTTTTTCATCTGATTGAATCTGGTCCAGGATTTCATATACAAATGATATTTTGTTAAATGTTAAATAATCGGTTTGAGTTCATTTTAGTATGGATTAAACCCACAAAAAATTAGATATTTTGCAAACTGCAAATTTGACACACAGACTTAACCAATACGTGCAATACATTTATTTCATCCCTCCTGTGAGAACCATGTTTTTTTTATCTTGGTTCAAATATTAACACTGGTAAATCTACAGGTAACTTGAAGCTTGATTTCTTTTTTTGAATTTTATTTAACATTGTGTAGGCTACTACTACATGCAAAAATCAAATATACCTCAATGTGTATAATTTGTGCTTCTGTGTCCCATATTTTACACTCAAATTAATCAAAACAGGGAGAAGACACGAGGAGACAGTATCCTAATTAAACAAAACTGGTATCTCTTAAAACATACAATACTAAATTGCTTTGGAATTATTACTATTATAAACATGAAAACATAAAAAAAAATGTCTTACCCTGTGTAGGTAAAGCCATAAACTAGTAACCAAGGTGTTATTCTAAATGTATAACATAGTTAAAACCTACATGTTACTCATTATCTACAGAAAGCTATCCATTGTATAAAATCTCCCCTATTCAACAACTACTACTCAAACTATACAAATTAGATTGTGAAAATCTCAAGAAGTCCACGAGACAAATTTAACCACTTTGACTTGTCCTAATACTTTCATAACGGTATATTTATTGGCCTACAATAAATGAGACTTGTAGACTACAGTAAAAAAAAAAGAAACAAAGAGTTCTGTTCTGTTGTCAATGTACATAGAAAGCTATTCAGTTTTCTTGACAACAAAATACAAGCCATTGATATAATTTGAGAGCTACTAAAATATTATCTGAGAGTAAACATATAACTTCAGTTAGATATATCTATCACAATATTACTTCAAGGCCTTTGTAAAACAAATATTTGCATGTTCTTAAGAGATAAAGTTGCGTCTTACCCAGAAAAATGAATAAAATGTCTAAATACATGTATGTAGCTTATCATGTCACGGAAAAAATGTTACTAAATCGGAAATACTGTTTTTAATATTATGATTCTGTAATCATTAATCTTTACTTGTTATGGTTCTTATAGTCCTATCAATATTTTCTTAATAAAATGTAAACATTTGACATTCAGAGGGTTTTTTTGTACTTTTTCTTACTTGGTTTCCTTTTTTTAATCGCAGTTTCTATTTCCATGGAAAAGTCAAACTCACTGAAAGTTCAAAGCTACAGAAAATGATTATTTTTAATATTACTGGTCAATTTTATGACTCCCTTAATTATCTACTAAGTAAATAAAATTGAACATTATAAATATATACAGATGTATATCTTAATTTTTATGTATATTTTGATTTTCATTTTGATATAAATGCACAAGGCATATTTTGCCTTGTACTACGGAAACTTTAATAAAGGCAAACAATCCAGGTCACACCTTAAATAATATTTCATGCATTTCAGATTTACTATACACCAGTTAGCAGAATCAGAATATAAACTTTCCATTAAATTATTTTAAGATAAACTCTGTCGAATCAGAACAATTCACTTATTATTTATAAAATAAGCCCTAAGTATGATTTGAAAATCTCATTTTAGGAACAAAACAAGCAAACTTAAAATTTGTAAATCCAGCAAAGCCACCAGTCACATTCAAACTTCAAATCTTGATATAAATCCCATGTTTCAACACATGGAATAACAATTGGACTACATGGAAGAGACATTTTATATTTGTTTCTCTGTCCCCCCCCTCCTCCAACCAATTAAATTGTCTAAATATCAAGGGATGCAACAACTGTATTAATTATTTATTGTTAAATAAACACGTAATAAAAACATGTAAAATATCTGGGGTGAGAGTTGGGTTTATTTACACATAATTAGGAATCCAGATAAAATAACACATAGCGTTATCTAGCTATAAATATGATCCAAATTTGAAAGATTATCTTGATTATCTTATACAGAAAATCTCTTCAGCAAAGAAGCTCTTCGATGTTCCCTGTTTTATCTTGAATAGAAATTCAAACCTTGATAAAATTCAGAAGAATGTCCAAAAATAAATTTTATGTATAATTTACTGGACAATTTGAAGTAAAAAAACAATTTGGTCAAAAGAGTATTTCACAAATACAAAGACTTTAAGCTAATATTCAGTGATTCGCGCAACTTTTTAGACCTGTTCGCCACATGTATCATAATAATATTCTCTTTTTAATTCATGGGATGAAACGACCCTATATTAGTGGGATGAAACGACCCATGGGATGGTCACAGGATGAAAAGACATGCTTTGCTCCCCAAAACCAAAGGCCTGCAACCAAAAATTTTCTAAAATAAGAAAAAGGTACAACTACTGTTGATGTGTGAGCAAAGTTGAATAAAGGTACCTTGTGTGGTTTCTCTAATATAGCTCGAGAATAACAATTGTATACCAAAAACTAAGTCAAATTTGTTACACATGGAAACACCAATATTATTTTACAGAGACTTTTCTAATTAGGATAAGGCACAACTACTATATAATGAACTAATATGTGTAAAATTATGTAGAGAGGTAATCAAGAAATGCGCTGAAACAAGGCAAATGTAAACTTAAAATTTAAATAATACAATTGATGATTGAATTACTATAGACCAAAATGTTTTTCATTAAAATTATTTAATTAAACTTAAAACAGTGATCCCCAACTCAAAGCCTAATCAATTTTGATGACCCGTACTTCAGAATTAAAAGTCTGTTCTTAATATATAATTTTCAAATTGCCCTCCCCCACCCTCCCAACTTATCTTAAATTCAAATCCCCCCCCCCCCCTTATATTCAATTAGCACAAAACTTACTTAAACTATATGATTACTTAATAGGGCCAATCTCAATTATATTTTGGAGAATAAAACTGCTCAATTTTGTGTGAGCAATATATGTGACACGTTTTCAAACTGCTTAAACCCATCAGCATCAGTCTTCATCTGGAAATGGAGAACTGTGTCCAAAGCTGCACTATAAGGTGTCTGGATAAAACCTGACTTTTATTTTATAAAAATAATGTGTACGGTAGGTGAAATTTACCTTTCATTATCAAGTACAGCATGTGGGCCATCACAGTTTAAACCTCTAAAGGGACAGCAATAGATTACCAGATCACCCAACGAAAAAATTGACCCAAAATTTTAAAAGGGTTATGTGTCCGGATAAGCGGTTGACGTTCACGTCTAAACGGATCAATATTTTCAGCTGAAATTTTGAGACAAGGTATATACACCATTCCTCTATATTTTGGCACTTAAATTTCATACGTACACAGAATTTTATTTCTGAGACTTTGTTTAAATTAGGATGATCCCCGTAACATTTATTCTTATGGTGCTTTGGGATTTTAATTGGCAATTCACATCTGCTCCATTAATTAAACATTATTACTGGTATGTTTGGTTTATATTTATAATAAATGGGCAGTTAGATCTTAGTGCTAGGCCCGCTAAATGCACCATAAAAAACCCAAAATCTAGGAATTTATGGAAAAGCTCTATACTATGACATAGAGAGATATATATTGCTCTACCAAGTATGAATAATTTTTCAGTTTTCTCATCATCAATCAAGGCTGGAAATATTAAATTACTGGGGAATTTATTGAAATGATAGTGACTACTGCATTGCTACATCACAGAATAACAATTTTGTTTGTATAATCTATTGCTCACCATCACATAACTTGTCAAAACTAATTATAACTTCATAATATTAATAGGTAAGCAGGTCAATTTGTTTACATGTTGTCAATGAACCGGAATTTCCCTTATTGCATTATGGGAGGCCCGTAAACGTGGATGTTAAAAAAAAATTTTTCCCGGGATCGGCATAATCAATGACGAAAATAAACTCAACCAATCAGCGTAAGACAGGTCGTAAAGAAGGTTCCTTACTTGGTACCATATCATTGGATAATCTTGAGTTCGTGGGAAATCGTGATTGGCTGTTTCAGTGCTACGGAAGGGATTCCCCGTGTTCTGAGGTGGCCTAGAACTTGATAGTAAAGCCCAAACTAATTTCTGTCAGTGTCATTATATTTCACCCTTCCTTCTCCTTTAGCAGGAGTCATTCCATGAAGCACGCCATGAAAAGGTGTATTTTGTTAGGAATTTTTGGCTTTTTATTATTAGCCGGTAAGTACTTATTTATGTAATAACCAAGTGGTGTAAACACGATACCGGTCTACCCCTCTTCTCGCTTCTCGGGACTGAACTAGTGAACACGTGAATTCACTATTACCATAAATGTCGATTCGGTAGGGTTTCGTTTGAAGCTGGTGCTCACTAAAACCTGCCATGCATTCGTTGCAGGAATGGCACAAAAAGTTGTTATTTTAATTGTTAAGAATAGTTAGCATGTACAAGTACATTTTACAACACAAAACATTGAGAGTCACAAATAAAAATGATCACCATATTCATTCAGATTCATTGAAATAAAGTGTACCGGTGTTCTATTACTTAGATTCACAAGATTTCTGCTCGCTTAGGAGTTGCCAAGAGTTTTAGAACTATATAGATGTAGAATAGCAATGCTAATTCAACCATTAGCCTATCTCCCAGTATTTTATGTTGTAATGTCGTCCAATATATTTGATACTGATTTTAATATAAAATGAAACAAAAATTACAGGTAAATGTACAAGAGAGGAACCACATTGATTCTGATAACTTTAGCACATAATCTTCTCAGAAATGTCAAGTTAAAGGAACTAAATGGCTATTCTTTGACACCTAGAAATGGACACAAATGGCTTACGATGCGTGTAATATGAATGTATTATAAACTAAATTACATTTAGTCGTTTCTGTTTATATTGTAATTTCTAATCAGTTATGTTCGTCGAAATGCACGAAGAGTCTGAATTGAATGGCAGTCTTTGGCATCTGGTTACTCAGTCTACACCGGTCAAATTCTCCTACATGGGATATTAGGCTAGCCTTGTTCATCCAGTGGCTTCATACAACTGGCGCTCGAAAGCATCCAGGCACACGATCCGTTAGCTACGAGAATGTAGCTAAAAACGTTGAGAGATAAAGACGTGCTTGTTTTTAGCTACGATATGGGCGCCTTTAGTTCCAAGTGGCAAACTCAATTTCTTTATTAATGCACGTAACATCTTTAAAATAAGATAATTTTATACTAATTAAACTTATAGTCTATATAGAGGTCAATGTAGTGGCACAACTATCGCCTAACTCCAAATATTCGTGTTTAAATTAATGAAGGGTTTCTTTTATCCGACATACAGCGCCATCGAAGTCCATTCATAGTTACAATGCTTTAGACATGCGCAAATCCTACACGCCCCTTTTTTCAATAAAACAAAAACATCCTTCTTGCCATTTATTATCAGGTCAAAAATAATTTCTTGTTCGGGTTTTAATTCAAAATTAACACCGTAATTTTATTTTATTTTCCAAAATGATTCGCGGATAGATTAGAACAGGTGGATGTCATTATGTTTGTTTACATTTTCTCCACTTGCCTTTTTGACTGTTATAAAAGCCTTATATTTAGCCCCGCCTTGATGCATGTCATAGCGTCATACGTCTCCCGTTTAAAATGGCGACAACAACGACTTAACGCCTCGATTTTAAATACAACAATTTATACCCGTTTCAGGTAGGATTTTATGCTTAATTACAGTTGAATGGGATAGAAATACTTTAAATAACAATAATCAATCGTTGTTTTGATGAAAAATATTGTCAATTTTGCTTACTGGGGCCTGATCTGATTCGCGTAGGGCTTTGCTGCGTGAAACTATATAGGACCATCTCTAATCCTGAAACACGGAGGGTTGAGAGATGAGGTTTGTTATCTAACGATCCGTGTGCCAATTTTAAAATTTTCATTTTGTCTTAAATATTGGTTATCAGAAGCCCAACTTTTCATCGTAGGTTAACGATAGTCATGTGTAAATTAATTTGACCAATAAGTCGTGCTTGCAATGTTAAACTTGGCTCCTTTAAAATGGCTTTAATAGTAATACAATTATTCTTCACAATTGACTGTTAAAGTACTGTTAATTAGCTAAGAAATAACAACATTCAAGGTTCCTTTACAATTAAATTGCTATTGCATTCAGTCTAGAGCCTATTGTCTCTGCAATGGCTATGGAATAGAAATCAATTTTTATTAATCAAAATCACGGTTTTCTAATTTTTATTAATCAAAATATGGTTTCCTAATTTTCAAGAACTTTTAGTAGCCTATGATTGATGGTCAGAAGGCCACTTGCTGATTCTGTCAAGGTCATGAGATGAAAACAGGGTTAGGGCACATGATGTTGCCAAGGATTGTGGGTAAGGTCTTGGGTTAGGGTTAGCACTAACACTGTTTATGTCTTGTGACCTTGACAAAATCTGATAGGTCCTCAATATTAATGCAATTTTTGTTGAATAAAGATCAATTGTTTAATATTTTTGGGAGGAGGTGGCAGGTAAAATTGACATATCTTAATTTGTTATAGGCTTACAAGTAATAGTAGGGTCAGGCTCTATATGCATCATCCATGTGGAGATGGTTATTTGTTGTCAGACAAACGTTATTACGTACACCATTAAATCTTATTAAGGGTGATTTCATGGTAATTGTAGCACTTTGACATTTGGCCAATTATGAAGACATACATGTGCGTACAGATTAATGATATGTATGTACGTACATGTACATGACATCGTCAATCAAGATTGAATGATTTGTATTCTTTTCAATTTATATAAACAAACTTTTCCTTTGTGATGGACTTTGTTGAATCTATTTTACAAAATAAATAAGTTTACTTTTATTCCGATTTATGCTAATATAATTAAAACTGACAAAAATGTAGGTGGGGTAGGCTTGGATGGACATGTACATGCAAGTTATCTCATAAACAATATGAAAAACCATGTTCAGTTATATTACAACTTGTGAAAAAATTCAATTCCATGTATATTAACTATCCACATCGGTATGCCAGAAAAAACTAGTTGGTTTTTGGTTTTGGTGGAATCATTATTTTGGTACCTTGGACAAATACAGTTAAATCAATAGACTAATGTAATCTATCTTTAAACAGCCTTATAATTGATCCATTTGTAGTTATTTGTGAAAATAATTGTAAAAGATATGGTCATTTCAGTTTGGAATATTGTCCCTTTAAACTTATAAATCCTTTTGAAAATCAACTTGGATTAATTAATTTTATGTGCTCTACATGTGCATGTTAAATTGTAGGTATAGTATAAAGACCAAGTGTTATTGGTACTAAATGTTATGTTGTATTATAAGATCACCTACACCAGTACTCATGGTAGACTGATATTAATATCAGGTAGAGACTGATGGTTCTAACACCTGGCAGTAGTTGTACCCAACAACTAATCTCTTATTACTGTTTTACCTTATCCAACTTGGATCATTTCTCACAAATTACCCATTATTCTATACACAGATTGTTTACTGATCTTTTATTCTATTACAGTGTTAAAACTTTGTTTATTTTTTGTTTCATTTATATATATATATATATATATGTTTGAAGATTTAAGTATCAGTATCCCCAGCCAATGGTTATATTTTTTTGTCATGATAATACCCAACCAAAACAAAATAGTCTGAAATCGAAATGACATGTAGTAAACAAATCTCCAAATCCCCCTCACTGGCAGGAATAGAATTCTTTAAATTTGAAAATACCCTATGAAAATCAGTAATACATGTATATGTAATTTATTATAATATTATATGTACTAGTACTAGCAGTTTTATTAAGTTTCTAGAAAATTCTTGAATTAGCTGTTCAAATGAAGCCTACATGTAATATACTACATGTTTGTACCAGTATGCCAGAAGGCCTAAATGTAATTTGTTTGAAATTAAATCAATGTCTCACAAACAATTCGTCAAGATATCTGTTTGCTGAAATCAGTTACATTAATTAACAAACAAATCTATTATTATGAAACTGATTGATGAAATTTATCCAATTGAAATATGACTACCGCCACACAGGTATATGTACATATGAGACATTATTTAATTCCATCAGTAGTATGTGTAATATATATATTTTACCAAATACTGCCTTGCTCAAAAAAAACAAACCCTGCTTAGTTATTTTCCCAGAGTTACAAAAATACCAACTCATATTTAAATTATATAATTCATTTATATTGAAGGTGTAAGAGCAGCAGATGAAGAAAAAGAACCAGAAGTCGTAGAAGATATCGGAAAAAGTAGAGATGCTTCAAGAACTGATGATGAATCTGTACAAAGGTATACATTTATTAAGATATACATGGAATTAAGGCTAGTTGGATGTTAAAGGTGTCATTATTGAAATCATGGGGGACTAGAATTAGCATTTTTGTGAAGAGTTCCACAGTTGACCTTCTGGGAACTTTTTTTGTTGAGCAATATGAATGGTGCAAGTCTTTTTAATTTTATTGCGCCTGGGAGTGGTTCCGAGAAAGGAGCGCTTATCACAGTCAAATGTATGTAAACACCGCTATATTTGTTGATTCTTTATAAAATGTAGCTTTTTGATGCTGGTGTATGGTTTGTTTTTTTTTTTTTAAATTATTAGTATCTAAAAATAAAAACTGGTAAAATGATTATTTTATGTTTGAAATGTAGAGTAGAATACTTAGTTTTATCTTAAGTAGATAACTTAGTTGGGGTTATTTAGAGATAAGGTTAAAGAACTCTCTGTTGTGATTCTCCCATCTGGTCTGACATATTGCAGAAATAGTTACTGTTTTCATGGCATTCTGGTCGTCTCTTGTTTTGTTCTATAATAGATCTTCTCACCTGGAAGACATGTTTTGAATATGATTCCAGTTTATTTAAAGCAAGGATCGTGTGGCTCTGCCACTCTGGGTTCATAAAGGTTGTAACCTTGCACAGCCATCGATATACACATTAATATCTGAAGATGTCTATAGAGGGCAGACAGATAGCTTATGATTTAATTATGTCTGAATGAAGTAAGATGGAGAATTCTTTTACCTGGACATATTTTTGTCCCCTGCCTTGCTTCTAAAGGCAGTTGAGCTAGAATATTCAAACTTGGTGTAGGTGTTTATTAGGTCAATGCCTTGATGGAGTTCGAAGATGAGCATTTTCTGCATAGGGTAAGCAGAGATAAGCAATTTGATTGGTTGATGCTTTGGTACACAATAATTTTAGTTCTAATGAAGTGAGAGTGATGAAACTTGGTGTATAGTTTCATTACATCATTACCTTGACTAAGTTCAATAATGAGCATTTTCTGCTCAGGGTAAGCAGAGCGATAAGCAATTTGATTGGCCTAGACTTTGGAACACAATAGCTCTCCTTCTAATTGAGATAGAATATTCAAACTTGGTGTAGGTGTTTATTAGGTCAATGTCTTGATGGAGTTTGAAGATGAGCATTTTCTGCTTAGGGTATGTAGAGACAAGCAATTTGATTGGTTCAAACTTTGGGACACGATAACTTCAGTTCTAATTAAGCAAGAGTGATGAAATTTGGCGTATAGTTTTATTACATCAATACCTTGACTAAGTTAGCCCAATTCGGAGCAAAACAGTATGACGTTAAACCCCATTGGCCACTTCATTTCACCATGACTACATTTGATAATGAGCATTTTCTGCTCGAGGTAAGCAGAGAGATAAGCAATTTGTTTGGTCGAGACTTTGAAACATAACGTTGACTCTGCTTTTAATTGAATGTTTAAACTTGATGTAAATGTTCATTAGACGAATGTCTTGACTGAGTTCAATGATTAACATTTTGAGCTAAAGTTAAGCAATTTCATTGGTCGATGCTATGGGACAAGGTAACTTTGATTTTATCGGATAAAGAGTGATGAATCTTAGTCTATATATAGTTGATAATCAGTTTGATTGCATGATACTTTTGAAAAAAATAAATGTGCGATTAATTTGTGTCATCTATTTGTTTTGGGACATCAGCCTCACTGTTGGCTTGTTTATTTGTGTGTGTATGTATATATATATACATGTACATGTACATGTATATATCTCCTGGTGTTTAGTACAATGTAGTTTCAACAAATCATTATGCATATTAATTAATTGTTTCTAATGAGAGACAGTTTATTTCAATAAATTAATGACCATTTGTTCTGCTATTTGGAAAGTCTAAATAATGGTTGTTCCATTTTAGTGTAAAAAAAAAATATCTATTGATGATTTTATATATACTATTCAAAAAAAGTAGGGGATATTTGATTTTTAAGTGTTATTAAAGTCACCTAATGAAACTGACGAAGAAACAAATGACAAAATGAAATGAAGTTCACATTCATCGATTTATTCCAAATGATCGTTAGACTAAGTAAGGCACAGACTGACCATTATAAGGGTAAAATGATACCCGGGGTCAAACAGCAAAGTTACCACAGCATCACAACCAAGTCAGTAACGGGTAAATCCTCCTCTGTTTGCCAAACAAGCATTGATCCGACGTGGCATACTCCTAATGAGACGTCTAAGGTCATTTTGGTCCAGATTGTCCCATTCCTGTTGCAACGCAGCAGCAAGTTCTTGGACATTGGCAGGACGTTGTTGACGTTGACGTAACCTCTGTCCAAGCATGTCCCAGACATGCTCGATGGGGGAGAGGTCGGGACTCAGTGCTGACCAAGGTAATGTGGTGATGTTCTGTTGTTGGAGGTAACCTGTAACGATCCTGGCCCTGTGACATCTTGCGTTGTCATCCTGGAAGATGAAACGGCGGCCATGATGTGCGAATGGCACAACATGGACTGCCAAGATGTTGTCCCGGTAGTACTGGCCTGTAACACGCCCTGCAACAACATGTAAAGCCGTTCTTCCAGCAACAGTGATGCCTCCCCACACCATAACAGAACCACCCCCAAATCGATCATGTCTGATGACGTTAACGTCTTGGAAGCGCTCGTTTCGACGACGCCACACCCTCCTACGTCTGTCCAAAAAATTAACAGTGAACCTTGACTCATCTGAAAACATCACATTGCTCCAGCGTCGATTATCCCAGTGTTGACGATCCCTACACCAACGACGTCTTGCCTGAATGTGATGATCTCTCAAACAAGGGATCATGCGAGGACGTCGGGCGCAAAGGTGACCCCTATGCAGTCGATTCCGAATCGTCTGGCCACTCACTCTCACACCAGTGTCTGTTTGAAGACGAGCGCTGATCTGATTTGCTGTGATGACACGATTTCTCAAGGCCAAGGTACGGATAAATCGATCCTGGGCTTGAGTTGTCGCCCTTGGTCGACCTGAGCGTGGTCTGTCCTGTACAGATTGTGTATCACGGTATCTGGACCATAGCCTGCTTATGACAGACTGAGAAACATTCATCGTCCGCGCCACAACCGTCTGTGTTGTGCCGATCTGTAGCATGCCAAGGGCACGTAACCTTTCATTTTGGGTAAGCCGACGCATATCAAAATTTGTTTTCTGGTCACTAAAACAATTAAACTGATGTTTCCGCCCTGGAATTCAATGCCACAATGACTGTAACATTCAAAGTCAGAGTCGTGCAAATCTTGGGTTGGACCCCCATGATGATCCCAAACATCACCTGCATTCCATGCGGTAGCTATTGGTGCGTTTGGGCGTCACATGTAACTGGAAATGTTTCTTCTGTTAGGTTCTATAGTGACTTTTTTCGTAGTCATTTGCATATTTTAGTATTATGCCCCCAAAATCAAATATCCCCTACTTTTTTTGAATAGTATATAAGTACATGTATAGGGTTGATGATAACTAGAAATATAAATGTGATCTGCTGATTATTGGTTCCTTCAGTAAGTAGGTCTGTCTTTACTGCGACTGTGAGTCTCAAGATATTATTGTATTATACATTCCAGTTTATCATACTGTTGTAAGATATGCCTATTTGTCTGCCCGCCTTACTTGTTTGCAGTTTAAACAAAACATAGACTGATTGGGTGGGGGGGGAATCCTTAATCAGAACCATGCAAGTGCATCGAGTCATCAATGATTTGAGAACATTGTAGAAGGAAAATATGACTAGTATTCTACTCTTGTTGATGGTACGATCTTCGAAGATATAAATTACACTAAACCAAAGGATGCTGCATTGAAAAATAACCAGAACTTTTTTTCTGAAGTTGTCCCACTGACAATCTAAATATTACTATAATTCAGGCTCATTATTATTAGATTTTTTTAGTGTTTATTTATTTGATAAATGTTTTCTGGTAGACAATATCATGATCTTGACTGTGCCAATACACCCTGCTAAACTTTCATGTCTCTAAGATATTACAGAGATTTTCAGTTGACTGTGCACATATGTTGATGATGTAGCTCTGACTGATAAAAATTGTTGAAATGTACATTGTAGATCTGTAGTTTGAATTCAGTAATTGTTTTCAACAGAATTACATGTTTTATTTGATTACTCAATGTTGATTGTGCTTTAGATCATAAGGTCTGTCATTAGTCAGGGGGTGACAAGGAGTAGGGTAGTCGGCCCAACCTCGTGGATTTTTCTAGGTCCTCTGTTTTCTTATGTGCCAAAGACACACAAGCGAATTATTGAAATATTGTACCATACATGTATTTTAGTCCCAAAATGACCTAGTTTGTGTTACTTCCCATTTTAATTTTGTCTGTCTCTTTGATGCTTAAACTACATGTAGTTCAATAATAGTTTTGTTTCATCATTGTCCTTTAAAAACCAATGAAATTCAATTTACTAATGATTGACCTCCATAGAATTCAAAGTATTTTAGTAAAGAGCTTGCAGATTTATTTCTCTTTCTGTCATATTGTATTAAAAATTGGTCTAATTTACGGTTTAGTTAGAAGGGTAAATTATTGGTTAAAACTAAAACCTGAACTTTTATACATGTAATTACTCTTGTCCTGTTCATACATACAGTCTACATGTATTATTATACCGGTATGTACACATGTACAGTATTCTTCTCACCAAGTTTGGCTACTGCTGCTACTATTTCATGCATTGTAGTCTCTCACGCTTTACTCATATTGTCTATTGCCAAATTGTCTTCAATCAGGGACAATAGTCAGACTCCTGAAATAAACTGGTTACGCATGTGTATACTTGTAACTATAAATGCGTGTAAAGAAATCTAGTTATGACGTAACATGGAAGTCTGTTTTGTGTGTGTCAGCATACGCATACTCTTAGTTTTATTAGTGCCGCCTGCATCTATAATATATATAAACCAGTACAGATGTTGCTTAATATATATACAAACTAATAATGATTTGTCTTGCTAAAACAAAGATGCATAAGTGATTCCAATATTCTTCATTATTACTATGTATTACTTGATGTATCTTGAAGAATATTAACTACTTAGTCTTTTGGATGGGACGGAAAATTTCCTTGATTTGCAGCACATTATAGACCCCTGATATTGATCACTCACTAATTGACTTTCAATTTGAACAAAAGTTCATTAGGGCCAATCTCTGATAAAAATTCTGTAAACATGCCACTTGCTTATAACAGTCGTTTGTTTCTCGTTATTCTTTTGTAACATTTGTTGATTGTTTATACTTGTATTCTTGATGGTTACTTGCTGTTGTATTGATACTATTTATGATGAGATTTGAAGTAGGTTATAATGGTATGATAGTATGTCTAATAGACCTGTAACATTTATGATTTTGATACTAGCCATGAGCTTTAAAGTAAGGTATAATTGTAATAGACCTGTTACATTTATGACTTTTGTAACAGATTATCAGCAGCAGAGATAGAGAGATATTATGTAGAGATAATAAAATTCTATATAATGTCTGTTTCATTTAAATCTTTGAAGGTAATTTCTTATCAGAAAAAACACACATTTCTGTCTTGAATTTAGTAAAGTGATCACCTTTTCTTTAAATATTTATGAATCATTGCTGCACATGCCTCAGTCTATTCTAAAATTCGTTAAATGTGAATGAAATATAAACAAGAAGCAATGCTGAAGGTTTTATTTATATGTATCTTTTGTTACGTAAATATACAAAGTCTTTGTGATATGTATACTTAGACTATTACTTATGTCTTTAGTGGTTGTAAAAACCATGCCATGTTTTAATAAAAACATTATCTCTTAAATATTTATAAGTACTGCTAATAAAAGTACATGACTTGCATGTGCCATTCAGTTTTTATTGCTCTATTTTTGTCATAGATCCAACTATTTCTCTAAAAACTTCTAGATAACAACATGAGTCTTAATCTGGACTCCTGATTAGGCAACATTTGCCTGTCTGTATCCCATTAGCACTGAAAATGTCTAATTATTATTCTCAAAATGACTGAAGTATTGTCTTATTAAAACTTTAAACACCATTCCATAATCCAAGGAACATGTTGCCAAAGTTCTTGCATTTACCCTTTTGTGAAAAAATATATTGCTTTGAGTTCAACAACTTTTTTTAAGCAAAAATACAAAAACTGTTTGTTTACAGGGAAGAAGAAGCTATTAAGCTTGATGGCCTGAACGTGGCTCAAATGAAAGAACTTCGAGACAAGGCCGAAAAATATGCTTTCGAAGCCGAAGTAAATCGTATGATGAAACTTATTATTAATTCTCTCTATAAAAACAAAGAAGTGAGTTTTCATATTTTTATATCCTACATGTATTTGTATAGAAATATTTATGATATACTGTGATTTTTAAATGGATTTATTATGATGATTAATGACATCTGTCATACCTTGTATAGGCTATAGAATATTAGAAATAAAACTCATTATTTAAATATTTGAAATTTACTGTACCTTCTAATATATAGTTCATATTGTATAGGCTTTTACTACATGTACATACCGGCAGATTTGATATGAAATATGTATAAAATACACCTGATTTTTGCTATCAATTACTCATAAAAAAAATATATTCTTTTTTTACAGATATTCTTGAGAGAGTTGATATCTAATGCGTCTGATGCTTTGGATAAAATACGATTTGTATCTCTTACTGATAAGAATGCTCTATCTGCTACAGAGGAATTAAGTATCAAAATTAAGGTAAGTAAAACAATCAGTGCATGCCAAGCTGTTAATTAGTTTGTAGATAAGCTGTGTAGTTGTAGCATGATAACACTGACACCAAACATTGGTACCGGTATACTAGATTTCACATTCATCCAAAAATACAGGTTATAAAAGAAAGCATGATAATTTATACTGATTGGAGAAGAATAGTGAAAATTGGTTTTAGCCCAGCTAAGCATGTTATTAGATATTTTCAATGACAGATTCATCAATGTTGTTTTATGATCTTGAATTCTGATTTGATTTGGTTGTGTTACTAGTATGGATAGTGTAAGTTCATTATTTGTGACTGGACCTTAGGCATGCACTTTCCTCAAACAAATTAAAGGAAACAAAATAAAAGAGAATGACTGAAAATTAATATCAAAATGGCCCACCTGATTAATCCATGTAAGGTACAGTTAGAAACTGACACTTTAATCTTATATAAGTTTCAAACGTATGGAATATCAATAACAATTTTTGACTACAGTACTCCATATAGTAAGACTTGTACTCACGCAACTAAAACTGAGATATTTTTATACAATGTGGGAGTACAAATACCTTGTTGTAGTAGATTCAGCTGTCACAGTGTCTACACATGATTACCTGAAATAATAAACTCTTGTTAACAATAATAACATATAGACTTATACTCCTAATATATACTATTCAAAAAAAGTAGGGGATATTTGATTTTGGGGGCATAATACTAAAATATGCAAATGACTACGAAAAAAGTCACTATAGAACCTAACAGAAGAAACATTTCCAGTTACATGTGACGCCCAAACGCACCAATAGCTACCGCATGGAATGCAGGTGATGCTTGGGATCATCATGGGGGTCCAACCCAAGATTTGCACGACTCTGACTTTGAATGTTACAGTCATTGTGGCATTGAATTCCAGGGTGAAAACATCAGTTTAATTGTTTTAGGGACCAGAAAACAAATTTTGATATGCGTCGGCTTACCCAAAATGAAAGGTTACGTGCCCTTGGCATGCTACAGATCGGCACAACACAGGCGGTTGTGGCGCGGACGATGAATGTTTCTCAGTCTGTCATAAGCAGGCTATGGTCCAGATACCGTGATACACAATCTGTACAGGACAGACCACGCTCAGGTCGACCAAGGGCGACAACTCAAGCCCAGGATCGATTTATCCGTACCTTGGCCTTGAGAAATCGTGTCATCACAGCAAATCAGATCAGCGCTCGTCTTCAAACAGACACTGGTGTGAGAGTGAGTGGCCAGACGATTCGGAATCGACTGCATAGGGGTCACCTTCGCGCCCGACGTCCTCGCGTGATCCCTTGTTTGAGAGATCATCACATTCAGGCAAGACGTCGTTGGTGTAGGGATCGTCAACACTGGGATAATCGACGCTGGAGCAATGTGATGTTTTCAGATGAGTCAAGGTTCACTGTTGATTTTTTGGACAGACGTAGGAGGGTGTGGCGTCGTCGAAACGAGCGCTTCCAAGACGTTAACGTCATCAGACATGATCGATTTGGGGGTGGTTCTGTTATGGTGTGGGGAGGCATCACTGTTGCTGGAAGAACGGCTTTACATGTTGTTGCAGGGCGTGTTACAGGCCAGTACTACCGGAACAACATCTTGGCAGTCCATGTTGTGCCGTTCGCACGACGTCATGGCCGCCGTTTCATCTTCCAGGATGACAACGCAAGATGTCACAGGGCCAGGATCGTTACAGGTTACCTCCAACAACAGAACATCACCACATTACCTTGGCCAGCACTGAGTCCCGACCTCTCCCCCATCGAGCATGTCTGGGACATGCTTGGACAGAGGTTACGTCAACGTCAACAACGTCCTGCCAATGTCCAAGAACTTGCTGCTGCGTTGCAACAGGAATGGGACAATCTGGACCAAAATGACCTTAGACGTCTCATTAGGAGTATGCCACGTCGGATCAATGCTTGTTTGGCAAACAGAGGAGGATTTACCCGTTACTGACTTGGTTGTGATGCTGTGGTAACTTTGCTGTTTGACCCCGGGTATCATTTTACCCTTATAATGGTCAGTCTGTGCCTTACTTAGTCTAACGATCATTTGGAATAAATCGATGAATGTGAACTTCATTTCATTTTGTCATTTGTTTCTTCGTCAGTTTCATTAGGTGACTTTAATAACACTTAAAAATCAAATATCCCCTACTTTTTTTGAATAGTATATATATATATATATATATTTGTAAGTTACAGATAGCCAAAGCAAAATAATGTAATGATAATTAGAATTTCATATGAAATTTGATGCCAGTTATTTTAAATTAGTCACTATGAATGTGCTCCTTGTTGAAAACAATGTACATGCAGGTGAAAGTATTTCATTAAGAAATATTTTTAGAAAGACCAGCACTATGGTACTGTGAGCTGGCTATTGGTGAACACATGTTATTTCTAACACTCTTTCATTGTACATATCCAAATCACTGTTCAGTGTAAATACCTTGCATGCTCTAAATATATAAATGGTTTTGCAGATTAGTTAATGGTTGCCAAAATTGCAAGTTAGCATAACATTAATGTACTAATACCTGTAGTTTCACTATACATGTAAAACAGTTAAGAATATTTACATAGTGAAATAATATAGCTTATTATTGTCAGGTCTACATTACTGCTTAAGTATCAGCAGATAGTTTTTCAAGCATTAGTAGTATGGAGAGTAATGTCCGCTTTCACCTAGGGTGATATTGATTTTTTGTAAACGGGAAGTTGAACAACGTAACATAATTGTGTCAACAGTAGCAGCCAGTTGTATTTAGATTTTACAATTATTTAATCAAAACTATATCAATATATGTGTGATCTACAGAATATAATCATTTGCATCAATTTTCAATAACAAAATTGACTGTTAAGTACTGTTGCTTCTGAAGCCTTTAAACAACTATAGAAAACCCTTGCATAAATAAGGAAGAATTTCCTTCTAATTCCAATGTCAAATGGGGAAATTTGATATGAATTATAATTGAGCACTTTAAAGGAATCTTTGGTTATAAATAGGTTAAGATTGTACCATGTGATCAAAATTCCTTCCTGTTATTTCAAAACAAATGGTAGATAGATTACATAAGGTCATTTAATTATAAATTAATACATGGAGATGGTTATACACAGTTCAGAACGGAATGCTTAAATCTTGATTACCGGACAAGTGTAATCGTTACAATCTGGGAAGGCTTCCAACATGTCATTTTTTTACTGCGAACGTGTAATAGTAGTAATACAATATTATAGACCATTTCTAAACGACTATTCACTTTCATTTCCTCTGGTAGCGTGCTGACTGATAAGACCGCTAACTTGGATATTCAAAATAGCCATCAAATTCATGAATTTTCATCTTGGGTCAGGAGCAAGACATTCAAACTTCATGTATATTTCTTTGGCATTAAAATAACTGTTTATCTACCATGTGTTTCTTGTGATGAGAAAAATAATTGCAAATGCCAGTTGCTTTTTTTAAAAAAAATTAAAAGCATGCAAACATTTAACTAAAATAGTTTTCAGGTAATGTTACATGTAATTTACACATATTACTCTACAGAGATATCCATTTATTGAGGTGCTAGATTGATTTGTGTATATCTTGTATGTCATATACAAAACATGATATCTCTATAATTACACAAAAGACAAAAATATAATGTACAAGTGCCAATTCTAAATGTCAAAGTACATTCAAAGCAGTAAGTTACAAATGTACTTAAACATAGCCTACATAACATGTATCAGGTATTTCAAAAACAGTACTACGAAAGCATACCCTGTCTTGTATATGAAATCTTTCATAAGAGTTACATGTAGCGTGGTGATCATTGCTAGAGAAAGAAAACGAAATTAAGAATGTACAGTATAAACAATGTTTGCCAGTGGGCTTATTTTAACTTCGATAATGGTTTCTTATATGATTAAACTAATAAGAAAAGATCTCCTATAGCTTGGTACATACAATATTGTACATGAGGTAAAGCATCATATAACTTGTCAGGATATGTTGATTTATATAGAGGTGTGTGGTACCTTTCCTTAACACTAACATACTCTACTCCGTATGTATTTCATACTCACTTATTTACTTTCACCTTAATAACCTATCAGCAGGCCTTGTAGACTGGTAGAAATATTAAACATAGAAACATGAACCTTTCACAAGTCTCACATCGTTCACCTGTTCTTACCTTATCTATTATTACTGATCATAACCTGTTTATATAGACTATTCTTTTTTTCATCCAAGTATTTTGTTATAGAAGATTGTTATGTGCCAAGAGACCTTCATTAAGCATGGTTCTATATTACAAAAATATTCTTACCAGATTTTGTGATTTTAATTTATGGTTATTCAACTTATTTCACTTTTATATGCCCACATTTCCATGTGGGCATATATTATTATCGCCCTGTCCCTCCGTCCACAATTTGTGGACACTCAAGAATCACAATTTTTTTCCAATTTTGATAAAACTTGAAATGTAGGTTTATGTCCAAAAGATCACAATTCATTTCACTATTTGTGCATATCAGACTCCCTGGATTATAACTCCTGATTTTACGAAAAAATCACTGCTTTTTTTTTTAGCTTGTTCTGTCCATTGAAACCGCCTGTTTAATTAATAATTATTTAAGAGTTTTTACATATAATTTAAAAAAAGATTAATTTCCACAAATTTTATTTTTCAAAATAGGTTGCCAATACAAATAAATCAAGATATGTTAGTAGATATATAGATCTTTATTTAAAGATATAACTATAGGTAATGCCGTACAAGATGACTAACATTGTTTGCACACATGGTTTGATGTAATAATAGGCACGATTCCCAGATATGGAACAGTTTATTAGATCATAGTAATACTGCTACAGTAATAAAGTATATAATAAAATCATGAGCGACTATTACCAGTTTACCATCTGATCATAATAGGATTACTAGTTACCACACAATCATGATTTAACAATTTACCAAGTAATGTTAATTGAGTTACCACACCACTGACAAGACAAATTTGATCCTTTATTTAATACAATTAATGTATTTCTTAATTAGAACTAATTATAGAATAACTGGTTGTAATTAATGTTAATTAGTTATTCAACCAGTCATTACTTGGTTGTAAGTTGATCAAGGTAAATAATTAATACTCAAACTAATCATTCATCACATTGCTACATGTATATATATATGTAAGTACATCTGGTTTATATATTAAGTAAGAATATAAGATGATATGATTAACTGTTTACTTTATGTAGGCTTTATAAAAGACAGGTGTAATATTTAGAATAAATGTGTAACTTATATTGGTATATTATTAGGTAAACCAAAAAATTGCAATTTATGCTAATTAAACAAAAAAAACCCTGATTTAATAATTGATGTTAGTGCATACATGTAAATGATTTACTTTTTGAAAAAATGTGATTTAATAATTGATTATAATAGTGCACAAGCAGGGGAAATGGTATTTTCTGACTAAGAAGATATAGATGATGCTAATAAAATCGAAAAAAAATGTAATCTATAGATATATGATTTATTTAATCCCAATAATGGAAGCCATTAAACTCAGTCCTCATGAATAGCTTTATTAACTCAAAAAATCAATGATTAAAATCTTAAAGTAGCAATGTGTCAATGGCATGAAAAGTAGCCTGGAGATCGGGTGTTCGATCCCTGCATTGGCTGAGAAAGTTCATCCAGATTTTCCGGCGTGGTTCAGTGATGCAGGACAGAGGGCCTGACAAGGACAACTGTCTAGTTGTTCGGATGGTTCGAAAAGCCGAGGTCCCGTGACAGTTGGAATTCGATATACGAGTAGGCCATGGTGCCGCTGTCCAGGCAAAATTTCCCTCATAGCACACTGTATGGCATATGCCCGTCTTCATTAGCCCAGTTCGGAGTAGGATGTTCAACTCCATTTCATTTCCATTTAACTTAAAAATTCTAACACTTAAACTAATGCAACTCCTGGTCCTTCAATCCATTGTATTTCTTGATATTGCTATCCTTATAAGTTAATTTGGGTTGTCAATTTATTAAAGCCTCTGATCATCATTTGAGAGATCTTTCATAACTACAATATTGTGCAAGTTGATTCTCTAAAAGGAATGTCAGTCCAAAATGGTTCAATTCGTTTCAGTATTTATTAAGTATCTATATTATTAATTTAAAATACTGTCTTCGAGAAATAAGAAATTGTTAACTATATGGCTGTACTATTACTATAGGCAAAGATTCATTAATAAAAAAACAATACATTAATGGGATATTTGACAGTAGATTGTATGTTGTGAACAGCAAGTACATGATATATTTATATGCCTGTACTTGAAGGTCGTTTCTAGTAGAGTCATTCTTCTAATAATAGTGAATGTTCCAAAACAGACAGCTAACATTCAGCTGTATATGTACCACATTTGTAGTAATAAATCCTCTTATCATTCGTTGTATCCTAAAAGATTATACATGTACCTATATTTAATATATAAATTTTGGAAAATATAAATGAAATAAAATGGTTTAACATACTACTGTTCTGCCTCGATGATATAATAATACTAACAGGATACCTGGTTTTGCACAGGGCTCATTTCGCCAGTGGCCCTATTCGATGGCCTAACACAGTCACAGGTCATGCTGGTTAATTTATTTGATACCATATATGTGTGGGGGTGGAGCACAGCGATGAAACTTGATTTGCCTGGGGCCCAAATTTGACAGACTAAAACATTCAGAGGGTCATGCTGGTTAACTTGGAGGGGTGGAGCATGGCGAATATACACACTTTGATTTTTTTTTATATAGCATGATTAGTTAAACATGCATTATGCAAGAGCTAAATCTGATTATTGCAAGTCATAATTTAGGCTTCAGATGTTATAGAAATTATAAATTAGATCTTTATTTAAACAACAAGACCAAAATCAACTCTAGACCCACGGATGGCTCGGCTACAGCTCGGATTTAAATAGGATTTCACTAATTGATTAAATCAAATAAGGGGTAACCTGATGAAAATACGTCAGTTAGATCGAAGCTAAATGATAGAGTGTACTTAGCGAGGCCGCTGTAAAGCGTTTCCGTATGCCATTGAAAACTTTACTTGATAATCGAGATATGTAGGTGGAGTTAACGCCTGTCAATCAAATCGCTACCATTTCTAGGCAAATATTACAACGACGATAACTATGTTCAGAATAAAGTAATTTGACTGAATTTTTCAATATATTCTTCTTCATCATCTACTTTTGAACTGTTATAGCAAGAATGGCCAACTCTCTATAAAAGTCTCCCATAATGCATGTTCCTGAAGCAACGGTATACTAGTTTTATAACTAGTTATAAAACTAGTATACCATTGCTTCAGGAACATGCCCATAATGTATCTTTAAATATGTGCTGTAATTTTTGAAACACCTGTCTGTTAAAGTAGTTACAATCAAGAACTTGAATAAAATATTGATAAGGTCTTAGTTTTATTCAAATTAATGTTCTTATGACTAATATTACTCAAATTGATTTAAACATTTATACTTGTATTACATACAATTAGAGATGTAGATTATTATTACAGTATTTATAGTGTACTCTTTCACTACATGTGTTCATGGGGCCCTTTACAAACTAACAATATAACCATAAATTAGACAATAAAATATAGCAATAAAAATGATAGACATGTATACAGAGACCGTTAACAGCTTGTTTAAATCAATGTTTTTTTTTACTTGGTTCTTATAAAAGAATATAGTCAATTAAAAGCTTGTTTAATTCAATGCTTTTTGAGTTGGTTCTTAAAAGAAGAGATATACAACATCTTATACTAAATGTTAGATTATTCCATAAAAAAACAGGGGCTTGATAAAATAGCACAGATAAAAAGCCTAGTTGAACAGTTGTATATCATAGATTCCTAAATTTTGCTTAATTAGAAAGTTGATTTCATTTTAATTTGTTATTACAGGCTGATCGTGAAAATCATGTAGTACATGTAACTGATACTGGTATTGGTATGACTAAGGAAGATCTTGTTAAAAATCTAGGTACAATTGCTAAATCGGGTACAAGTGATTTCCTCACCAAACTAGGTGAAGCTAAAGAACAAGGACATCTTAGTGATTTGATTGGCCAATTTGGTGTTGGTTTCTACTCATCTTTCTTAGGTAAGTAATTAACTAATTCAATTAATTGCTTACACCATAGGTTGCCCTAAAATTAAGATAAAAACAACAATTTCAATGTAATCGATTAAATTACTTCATTAGATAGATTAAAGATCTGATTACTTGATAAATGTAATTAATTATAGCCGATCATGTATACAGATCATGATGAGTCCTGTTCTCAATCTAAAGTGTACATAAAAATGATTTTCATGAATTTTAGCAAAATTAACAGATAACTCCATGACTTTCACAATTGCCAAGTCGGAAAAATACTTCACCCTTGAATGCTATAGTGATATGTATATATGTCTAAAATCAGTGCAAAACATTTGATTGCTTACAATAAGTGATACATTCACATGCTGATAAGTGTCAGTAATTTCTTACTCTAATTAGTAGGTATAATTAGGTATCAATACATACCTTAAGTTCATGAAACAAGTCATTATAAGTTTTTCCTGCTGTAAGCACGGACAACAAACTTTCCACTTGATAGAATCAAATACTGTAGCATTATCAAGTCACGATTAAAGAGACATCTATTCGACAAGAACATACAATAAAAGAGTCTGCATAAACTTAAAACGCACAGAATGGACTTATTTGTAATGTTGTTTGCTTTATACATATTCTGTGTTGATTGGTTGTAGACAAACAACTGTTAATATAATACTGGCGCTGCCACTCCCCCCACCCCTTGACGAGATTAAGAAGTCGTACAGTGTACTATTTAGATTTATACTGATGACTTTGATTTGTTTTACAGTTGCTGATAGAATTGTTGTCACATCTAAACATAATGATGATGATCAGTATGTATGGGAATCCGACTCCTCATCTTTCTCTGTTGTTAAAGATCCCCGTGGTAACACACTTGGACGAGGTACAACAGTCAGGTATGTCCACATTTAATTTTTTCGTCACTGGCGTTGGTCCCTACTTTCTTGTAAATTTTCTATATAAGACAAATATCTTCATATGTGGGATTGTTTAGAAGAGCCCTAAGAAATTTTCAAATTTGTTTGCCAATGTATGTTTTTTACACATATTTCAGTTGCTGATGTTTTATTTCCCTTTCAGCTTACACTTGAAAGAAGAAGCCCATGACTTTTTGGAAGAAACTACTCTTCGTAACTTAGTGAAAAAATACAGTCAATTTATCAACTTTGATATATATCTATGGGCTAGTAAGGTAAGTTAGAACTTTAAATTTGCAAAATATAATATCAGGGTTGGAAGGTAGTTGGATGATTAGGATACAGCAAGAATGTTTGCACCACGCTGTGGGTTGAGAATAACATTCAGGATTTTTAAAACCTATGGCAATCAAGTTAATAGTGTAGTACAAATAAAACCCCAAGATATGTGAAGCATGTTGGAAAGGGAAGACGATTGGACTGAAGTAATGCTATTCAGGCTAAATTCTCCACCTTGCATTTCACACTTGGCCATAAAAATAACACCATGATAGTCTAAAAATGACCATAATAAAGTGTCGAGACAACTTATCCCATTCCCATACGGTATTTGGGTAGAATGTCAATTTTTTCCACATTTTTATTTTGCTTAGAAATGTTGAATTTGGACGCAAGAGACAAACTCTGTGATGCTTTATCAAATGTTTTTAATCTAAACAAAACTTAGTCATACTTTTAGTGTGTATACTTTCTTTTGGACATCAGTATAGACTATAGATATTGGTCATACTTTTGATTGTTCAGCAGAAAATTATTTGTATTTTTTTCATACACTTGTAGACAGAAGAAGTTGAAGAACCTATTGAAGAAGATGAAGAGAAAAAAGAGGAAGACGAAGAGAAAAAAGAGGAAGATGAAGATGCTGCTGTTGAAGAAGAAAAAGAAGATGAAAAACCTAAAACCAAGAAAGTTTCTAAAACCGTCTGGGACTGGGATCTTGTTAACAATGTAAAACCTATCTGGACCAGAAAGTAAGTTTTATTCACTTTCAAGCCATACATTTTCAATAGTCAACTTAGATTTGTTTCTTGTTTAAGACTTCTATTTTGGCCAAAATCATGCTTAAGCAATTTTGAATTTCTGCCTTCACTTTTAATATTTCAGCAAAATATGGCTTAATATTTCAGATGATATTTCAGTAAAATGTGATTTTTAATATTTGAATAAAATATGACATCAGTCTAAAGAAGAGTGATACATAGTACCATATATTTGGCTTACCAATAATAATTGAAACACAAGACATTTTCATTTGTGTGGTCATTGCTTAATATTTGTTGAGATTTAATAATGTGAAGAACATTGTTTATTTCAGAGCTGCAGAAATTACAGATGAGGAATATAATGATTTCTATAAATCCATCAGTAGCGATTATGATACACCCATGACAAAAATTCATTTTACTGCTGAGGGAGAAGTTACATTTAAATCAATTTTATATGTACCGACTAGTGCCCCATCTGATACTTTCCAAAATTATGGTAAAAAGAATGAACAGATTAAGGTTAGTATTAGTAATTATTTTTCTCAAAGCTTTATATTAGTGTTCCGTTATGCAAAGCACACTTGAAATAAGGCATGACACAATACAATACATGTTCCAGTGAAACACAGGAACTTTTTGAGATCTTTTGTTGAACATTTATTACAATATTTCTAGATACCAGTTTTATCTGGACGGTGACCAGAGCTTTATCTTAAAAGATTAATTGGCCAATTAGCATCTGGGTGTTTTTTTATTATATTTTGCTGTGGTATTAAATATTTTGAACATTTTTTTTATTTTAACAGATGTATGTAAGAAGAGTATTTATAACTGATGATTTTGAAGACATGATGCCAAAATACCTCTCATTTATTCGTGGTGTTGTAAGTATATATATATTTATTACTGTAGTAAAATAGATTTTCTATTAAAGCTTTTGGGTGCAGACTTTATACATGATGAGGAAGGAAATCTGTCATCTGCATGACATTGTGGAAGGAAATCTGACATTGTGGGTGTTCTTCAAGTTCTATTTCTTTCTATTGTTAAACTACCCCAGCATACAAGCCAATTAGTGAAATATATTAATATACCATCTTAGTAACAAAATGACCTGGTTGAACCCTACATCTCTCTCTCTCTCTCTCTCTCTCTCCTGAAGTATGGTTAATAACAGACCATCAGAAATCCAAATTGCTGCCTTTTTCAAAGATCGTGTTTCATCCCCATTACCGGATTCATACTGTCTAGATTACAAACTGCTCAGTAAAATATTTTAAATTGGGTTATGTTATACCTTGGTGTTTTATTAAAACAATTGTAGTATTGTTGATTCCAGTTATATCATTATTGTTGTTTTTTCTTCAGGTCGATTCAGATGATTTACCTCTCAATGTATCTCGTGAAACTCTTCAACAACATAAATTACTCAAAGTCATCAAGAAAAAATTAGTACGAAAAACCTTGGATATGATAAAAAAGATTGATAAAGACGAATATCAAAAATTCTGGAAAGAATTCAGTACAAAGTAAGTGTAGATGTCATTAGCTTAATTTTTACATCAGTTTAGATTGGAGCTTGAACATATTTCGTTTATGTACACGTAGGATTGCCATGAAATTGCTTTCAAAGAATTTTATGGCATGTAAATTAAACTGACAGTTTAAGTCTCTAGATGATTATTTTCACTACCAGTCAGTAAATACTTTAAAATATAACCAAAACTAAAAATGCTGGTTAGATAAAGCAAAATTTTGCATTACAATATAATTTTGAAATCTTTCCCACCAATTTAAAATTTATTATCAAATTTAGTTGACTTTTAGATTAGAGGTCTGATGGAAGTCTGTAAATAGAAGTTTGAGATTTATGAGTGGTTTTATTTGGTTTCTTTTGTAGCATTAAGTTGGGTGTAATTGAAGATAGCACAAACAGAACTCGATTGGCCAAATTATTGCGATTTGCTTCCTCCAACTCTGACACCGAATTAACCAGTTTAGCTGAATATTTAGAAAGAATGAAAGAAAAACAAGAATCTATCTATTTTGTTGCTGGAACAGGACGAGATGAAGTAAGTTTTATCTTTCTGTTAATAGTTTAGCAGGATTTGAAATTTCTGAAGATTCTCATAGACCAAACATTTGATTGAAGTAACAAAATTTCAATGCCAATTCTGAGACATTAAAAAGGACACAGCCTCTGAATTGGATGACTGATTTATGCTAATTATGTCGAAGGGAAAATTTAACATTTGAAATCTCATCAATTCAGTCTTAATTAGAATCTTTATGTCAATAGAAATCTCTTAAAATTTATCTTTAAAGGATTTTCACAGATTGAAAAATACATAATGGTTCTTGCAACAATTGGCTAAGTTGTTAGCCAGTAGAGCAGATATCTAATATCTAGACATTCAAGATTTCCATATTGAAAAAAATGTTAGCTAAATAAGAGCTAATTGGTTCAAATATTCAAGAAATTGGTGTAAGAGACATTTGCTGTAATTGTTTATTAAATTTTATTTACAGGTATCTAAATCACCATTTGTAGAAAGATTATTAAAGAAAGGTTATGAAGTATTATATTTAACTGAACCAGTTGATGAATACTGTATTCAATCACTACCTGAATTTGAAGGCAAAAAATTCCAAAATGTAGCTAAAGAAGGCTTAAAATTAGACGATTCAGAAAAATCTAAAGAAAGAAAAGAAGCTACAGAAAAAGAATATGAACCTTTAATTACATGGTTAAAAGATTCTGCTTTAAAAGATCGGGTAAATAAATTTTATTTTCAGAAAGAGTGGCTACAAAAAAATTGTCTTTCTGTTTTTGTCATAATAAAACAAGTTGGTCACTCTTCTAATTTCAAAAGTTAATGAAATGAGAATATTCTATCACCATTAATAATAACAGGCTGTAAATTACAACCACTTCAATTCTCCCAGTAAATAAACAAATACTGTTTTAAAAATATGGCCAAAAAAGCGAGAGCAATTGCCAACCTTACTCATCACATACAAGTGTGGGATGAAACTCATTACTTGCATGGATAACAAACTTTACCTCACTTTATCATCCAAAACTGCAACCCAGATAATTCACTTAAATATCTAGTTAAAATGTTACATATCTTTAGAAATTTTTGAACACTTCACAATCTTCAGTCATTATTAGTTTTCTTATTCCAATTTCAATTCAGGCAGTTGTATGGCCAAATGGTATGTGTGTGCATATATCATAAGGTCTGTTATGAGTCAACTGGAGTGTTTTCGATCCCCCAGTTGTACGTGACGAGGAGTATGGTCACCTGTTCTACCTCGTGGGTTTTCTCCGGTTTTCTCCCAGTGCTAAAACCCCCACATGAAAGCGAATTATTGAAATAAAATTGAACCGTATCTTAGTCCCAAAATCACCAAGTTTGTGTCCAGTGGATGTTAAACTCCATTTCTTTCTCTCCAATTTCAATTCTAATTTCAATATTGATTACAGATTGAAAAAGCCACTATTTCTGAGCGTCTGTCATCTTCACCATGTGCTCTTGTTGCTAGTCAATATGGCTGGTCTGGTAATATGGAAAGAATTATGCAAGCTCAAGCTTACGCCAAGGCTAAAGATCCTTCACAAGAGTAAGTTGTTTATGTAATAACAGTGTTGCCATAATACCTGGTATTATAGAGAATAGTTAACTATGAATGTGTGAATTTTGTCATAACAACAAACCCTATTAGGAGTCATTTTAAAACACTGTTATTTTACTTTCAATTTATATTTGCTTGTATACACAGATCTATGGCATTTTTAATATAGAGCAGAATGTTGGTAATTCATTTTTTGTGCTAGTATTATTTGTTATAAATATAACAACAGATATCATAATTTATTTCAGATTTTATGCGAACCAAAAGAAAACTTTAGAAATTAATCCCCGACATCCTTTAATTAAAGAATTGAAGAAACGAGTTGAGGTAAGGAAAATCTATTTGATATCATTCATGTCAACTGTTACAAAATGGTTGTTTGCTGAATTTTATTGTTTTGTTACTATTCAAATATACCTGTCATAGGGCATTAAAGTTTTAATAGAGGACCTTCATTTTGGATAGAACTATAAGTTCTTGCCATTTATGAGCTCAATCCCCATCTAGTTGTAGAATATAACCCGGATCTGGTTGTGGAATATTGCCCCATCTGGATGAAGAACATAGCCCAGTATGGTTTTAGAATAGAAACCTGTATATTGTACAATGTAACCCTGTCTGGTTGAAGAACATAACCCTGTAGGGTTGTAGAACCCTGTATTGTAGAATATAGCCACAAAGTTATGCATATGTGATTTAATGAATTCTTTCTGTATCAGCCAAATAAGTTATTATTATACTGGGTTTTTTTTTTTAGGCTAATAAAGAAGATGAAACCGCTAAAGATTTAGCTGTGGTTATGTTTGAAACGGCTACAGTAAGATCAGGATATAGAATCTCTGACACCATGGGATTTGCTCAACGGGTTGAAAACATGTTAAGATTGAGTTTAGATGTTCCTCTTGATGCTAAGGTAAGAATTTGTTCACCCTGGTGTTCATGACATCTGTGAGATCAAAGAAATGCATTCACAGCCAAAAAATCAGGACCAGATATGAAACAATGTGAATTCATTATTTGATTGGGAGTTAGAGACATTATCAAGTGCCATGGAATCAAGTTTTGTCAATCCAATGTTGTGGGTAGCACCGTGATGTTATACAAAACAAATATTTTGGGTAGGGATATTTATCTATTCATTCAGTGTGTATTAACAGGAGTAATGAGGATTCAATCCAAAAAGATTGAGTCAGTGGCATGGGTAGTGTTTTAGATAGAAAGAAAAATGCCATATCTCTTTTACACTTTGACAATGCACATGAAAGTAACAGTTAAATGAAAAATTAAAAAATAGTTCAATATTTTGATTATGTTTGTAGATTGAGGAAGAACCCGAAGATGAACCTGAAGAAGCAGAACAAGAAGAGGAGGTTGAAGCAGATGAAGAAGAAGAAGAAAAAGTAAGTTATAAACATTTCTTTAATTGAGTCTTTGTAGTTAATTGAAATATCTAGTGAGGTTGATATCACAAAATACTTAATGTTTGCCAGTAATTGGACTTCAATTAAATGACCCAAGTATCTACAACCTCCTATTGGTTGATCAGGGGTTGAAATTTTAAATTCTTGAAAATCAGTTGTAAATCGGTGCTTAGTTACTTGGAATTTTTGTGAAGACTTGCCCAGTGATTTTGAGATATCAACCCTAAATATTTAATGAGGATTATTGTGCATGGTGTTATATTTTTGTGTTGTGATATTACTCATCCCATAATTCCATGCTACTATGCCTGTGTGTGTTAATCAGTTTAATTGCACCATAAATATTGTCCAATATGGAGATTTATAAGATTAATGAAAAGACATTATCTTTTAGGGCAAAGTAAAATTTATTGCACTTTTTCATGAGATTATGTAACCAATAAATGACTAGAATACATTTCATGGTTCAAACTTCTTTAGGTTTAAGGAGGGACAAAAAGGTTTCGCTCTATAAGCAAAGTCTGTTCTATTAATGGTTTTCCAATATATCATTTGAGGACGGTCTTTATATGAGGGTTGAACTCCATATTAAATTAAATAAATTTGATAAATGAAAGTTATTTAAGTTAAATTCTTATTTCTAAACGTTTCAATACTGCCAGATGTCCTTCAAGTTAATAATTGCATGTTAAGATAATCAATAATGCACGTCTATTCCGTATAAGACTAACCTTTGACCCAGAATGCGAATTTTAGTTAGGTGTGAATTGTTGATTTGAAGAATGATTCATCCATTTAAATCATGAACATATATCACTGATTATACAACAAGATGGATGAAATTCAAGCATAAATATCTGCACTCCATGAAAATGGATGAAAGTTGGAGCTTGCTCTTGCAGAATTGTAGAGAGTATATCACTGAATAACCGAAAGATTAGAATAAAAATTAGAACACACACAGGCTAGTTAGCAAGGATATATGGGAGAGTCTTTAGAATATTAAATTCTAATCTCTCTCATCATTCCTTGTTTTACAGAAACAAGAAGAAGATCATGATGAATTATAATGAAGAATACAGTAGATCACGCCATATACATCATCACCTTTCTTTAACCCCTCAACTTATCATTTGATCATCTACCCACCAATAAATACTGCTATTATTTATTTCTTTGGCACTAAAGGATTGAGAGGGTGAGGGTTTATGTTTAGTTAAATTAATCATTCAAAGGTTACAAAGTGGACAGCGAACATTTTTTTTTAAAAGTTTAAATTTCATGTACCATCTAAAGGGGCTTATAATATGTCTGAAGTTGTGAATAGTATGTGTTCTAAAATTTACAAAGCCCAGTAAAGATTGCACAATCAAATTCTGTTCCTTTTCTATATGGAAACTAATATTCTTGGTCAGTATTGTTTGCTGTCTCTATTTAATGCAACAACTATCATTTCATTTTCTTAACTGGTGCAACTGGAGACATCAGAATCACATCATTACAAACTTCCTCATGTGACAACAGGATTTTCATCGCAGTCCAAACAGTGATTAATATAAAGCATAAGATAAGAGAATCATGGTATTAAATGTTAGTGTATATTTATATAACATGTATGATGTGAGTCGGGGTTTGATGTTATAATTGTTATGTTAATAGAAAGAATCATTTTAAATGGATGTTATTATACGGTCAAAAGAGCTAATTTCATAATTAATATTTACATTTCTGGTTACACCAATTGTAGAAACAGAAATAGGGTCTTGATCATAAACACAATGACACCCCCCCCCCCTTTTTTTTTTTGAAAGTTTTTAATGACTTAAAATCAGATGTTAAAATTTAGTTGTTAGACGTTGGTTAATTTGATTTTATTTTTAAAAATACACAAGCCATCAATCATGGCATATTCCTACTGGATGTTATCAAGACTGTCAATAGTATTTTATTTAAAATGAAAATATTATTTTGGTGTATGTAGATACATGTACACCTATTAAAACCTCTATTTGAATGCTAGTTTTTGAATGTTTTTACTGTTTGTATGACTGCATCATATCATGAATTATGAGGCTGAATTTTTTATTTGTGCCTTTGTGTAATATTTTGTTGAAATAAAAAGTTATCCTAATAACATTTTTTTTCACCCTTTTCATGCCTGTAACCATTACTTTGAAAAGTTACCATTCAGCAGGAAAAATATGGAGATTTACTTCAAACCATGACCCATTTGCAGATAATATTCTAAAATATTGTTAAAATTTGCCTATGCTGTTGAAGATCTAAAACAAAGTACAGCTATATATGTAAAGCCTGTTGCACTGCCCCACTTTTAATTTTTTGTCTTCATGAATAGGGACACAAAGAGGGATTTAATGATATATTTGGAATAAATACATATTCTAATTTATGGAACATTTGCTTCTAATCCCTCTCAAAACATTTTATTCAGAAGGAAAGTCATGACTTGGTGAGAATTCATTTTTGGCTAGTATTAGTAGCTGCCCCATTACCATAAGTATAAATGCCCAATTTAATTTTTGGACTATTCTCTGCCAACCTTTTTTTTTGCCATTAATCACAGACTCTACTGGACATTTAATTCTCTGAATGTTCTCACAACCATTATGTATCAGTTCAACACATAGAAACACTCCTTAAGTCTATAAAGCCGATGTCCATTAGACCTTGCAGCCACCATCTTCCTCATTAGCTGGTTGACACTGAATTGGACTGTCAATTTTGAACTAGCATATATTAATAGTTTGCATACTATCAGTGGGAGGAAATTGAGAATCCAGAGAAACTGATAAGATCTAAATCAAGCAGATTTATCAGCTCCGGGACTTGTACAGGCATGGGATAGAACTTGTGTCCTGTATGGGCACCCAACCTCGTAGGTTTTCTCCGGTTTCATCCCACTGCTAAAGACCTAGTTTGTGTCGAGTGGATGTTTAAACTCCATTTCTCTCGTTCCATGGACACCCGACCTGCCTCTAGATGTACAGTGGATCAGATAAGAAAAAGATCCTGAGTCAGATGGTATTGAGAGGAGAGAGATAAAAAAGGGGTTGGGGGGTAACGTCTACATGGCACAAATCAAGTCATTTCGGGACTTGTATAGGTTGGACAGGTGATCATACACCTCGGAATCGAAACCACACCACGTGACTTAATGACATAGCTTGTGATCTAAAGCGCACACATTAGACCATTTGGACACCCGCATTTTACAAGGAGAAATACTACACACACTCACTGGGCAAAGTGCTCTCCCTTGTATTGCATACACTAATCCAGCCTTGGCAGACAAGATAGCCCACATTTCGCAATAGATGGATAGAGAACAATCTAAAAGAAAAACATGATTTTTCGCACAATCAGCGGTCTAATACACGAATATCGAAAAGAATGGAGATCTTTGGGTTATAAACATACATGTAAAGTTGCATCGAAATTGGGATCTCTAGTTCCACAAGCTAAAAATGTTTTTTTTCGTACAATCAGGCGCCATAATCCAGGATGTGTAAATATCGCAAGGAATCGAGATCTATAGGAAATAAACTTATATTTCAAAATCGGATAGAAATTGTGACCTGTAGAGTGTCCACAACAAAATGTGAAAAGACGGACAGGGGCGACGACAATAGTTACGACCTAACCTTTAAGATACATCCTCACGAAAGTATTTATCGGGTAGCTATTTGCAATAAAGTATGGCGATTTTGGTATATACAATGTCTATGGAAATTAAAGATACTCAATCTCACTTGAATAAATACCGGATTCCCTGAAAAACGCACATGGGCCACGTACAACACATAAATCTAAAATAACCGAAAAGAGATTCACAATGCATTTATATTGGTTGGTGTTAAACGGCATCTATTGTAATACTACAGATAACAAAAGATCAGCATAATGATAAGACCTTTATTAAGTACATGAAATAGACGTAAGTCGAGAGGACCTCAATTCCAAGTCTGACTTACTGCCGTTGTTCTTAGTGCTTAACGTCCGCTTCCACCGAAGGTGATATCGCAGACAAGGTATCTGACTTTCTTTTTTATAATCTTAGCACACGCGCAGGGGTCTTTCCTGTGGGAGGTACCCGGGGTAAACCCACGAGGTTGAGAAGGTGTCCCTATCTCCAAGCCACATACGCTCACCGGGGATCGAAACCACAACCACAAGCCAGAGGTGACCGACCAGATAGAGGTCGAAGTGCGACACTCTAGACCACTAGGCCACCCCTCCTCCCTCCTTCCAAAAAACTCTTACTATCGTAAAACTCCTGGTTATATAGCCTCCGACAACAGGGGAACAAATAGATAAGAGTTATCATATATGGTATTGTTTATTTATCAGATCATGGTATGATTGATTAATTTTTTTTTCCTTTGAAGTCATTATCAGGTCATGGTATGATTAACTAACCACTGCATTTTCCTTTGAAGTCATGCCGAATGTTGTTCACAGATCATATGTAGCTTGTAAAGGGCATATGGGGATTAATTACATGTTTAATTAGAACACAGACAGTCGTGACTAACAGAAGTATACAGAGTTGAAAAGTCAATATCATATATATTATCAAAAACCAGCTGTGGTCAATACGTTCTATGCACCTAAATGATCGTTCACTTTGTCAAACTAGAGTTCTTTGCAGGCTGTGGACTAATGACTTTCTGATATTTATAAAAGGTAGTACGAGATTCATCAACAAAATTTTAATCTTACTGGGTCTGACTTTATTCATTGCGAATTCTTACTGGACTGGTGAAGTCAAGCTTGTTTACCAAAGAACTGGTGGAATCTTAGTGTAGCTAATTAAATGCATGTAATTTAAGCATGCATGTGTTTGAATTGAAGAGTGTGCCATCATGCATTACTTAAGGTAAATTACATTTTAAAGGTCTATTATTCTTATTCATCAAATTCTGAACCACCAAATGTTACAAACTGACAACCATTTCATTTGGTGCTGTATCACAAGGCCTGTCATTGAGTCAACTGGCGTGGTTTCAAATCCTCGGTTGTACGTGACAAGGAGTAGGGTCGCCTGTCCAACCTCGTGGATTTTCTCCGGATCCTCCGGTTTCCTCCCACTGCTATAGGTCCCTACGCGCAAGCGAATTATTGAAATAAAATTAAAAACCATATGTTAGTCCCGACATGACCTAGTTTGTGTCGAGTGGACGTTAAACCCCATTTCTCTCTCTCTCTTTCTATATATATATATATATATTCATAATAACACCGATATGATATCCCCAAAATATTGTTATACATCCTTCCTCTCAAAATCTCAGAATTTTAATATTCTATATTTGATAAAACTTCTGGTCCAAATTATGTAATATATCTATTTTTCTTTAACAGGAAGAGTGTACCTTTTGCAGACGAAAGATTATGTCAGTATCAGCAACACAAAAGAAACCTGTGAAGCAAGCAGTTAAACAAGTAGTTAAACCTAAAGTCATACCCAAGATAGCCCCTAAGAAAACGGTGAAACAGCCAGCAGTTGATAAAACCAAGGACACTGATGGCGATGGAATACCAGATTACTTAGATGATGATGATGACAATGATGGTATTCCAGATCATTTAGACAACGACGACGATGGTGATGGCATTCCTGATGATCAACAAGTTGATACAGATGGTGATGGTATCCCCGACTACCTTGACGATGATGATGATAATGATGGAATACCGGACCATCTTGATAATGATGATGATGGTGATGGTATACCTGATGATGAAGAACTTGATACAGATGGCGACGGCATCCCCGATTACCTGGATGATGATGATGACAATGATGGAATCCCTGATCATTTGGATGCAGACTCTGATGGAGATGGAATACCAGACTACCAAGAAATTGATACAGATGGCGATGGTATTCCAGATTATTTAGATGATGATGATGACAATGATGGTATTCCAGATGAATTAGATGATGATGATGACGGTGACGGTATACCCGATGACCAAGAAGACTCTGACGGTGATGGCATACCAGATGTTTATGATGATGATAATGATAATGATGGTATTCCAGATTATCAACAAATTGATACTGATGGTGATGGTATTCCTGACTACCTTGATGATGATGATGACAATGATGGCATACCTGATCATTTAGATGATGATGACGATGGAGATGGTATACCTGATGATCAACAAGTAGACAGTGATGGCGATGGAATTCCAGATTATCTAGATGACGATGATGACAATGATGGTATTCCTGATCACTTAGATGATGACGATGATGGTGATGGAATCCCAGATAATCAAGAGGACAGTGATGGTGACGGAATCCCTGATCATCTTGATGACGATGATGATGGTGATGGCATTCCAGATTATCAACAAGTCGACAGTGATGGCGATGGTATTCCCGACTATATTGATGATGATGATGATAATGACGGCATTCCTGACCATTTGGATGATGATGATGATGGTGACGGAATCCCAGATGATCAGGAGGTTGATACTGATGGCGATGGTATTCCTGATCATCTTGATGACGATGATGATAATGATGGAATCCCTGACCATTTAGATAAAGATGATGATGGTGATGGAATTCCAGATCATTTGGAAGACTCTGATGGAGATGGCATCCCAGACGCTCTTGATGATGACGACGATGGTAATGGTATTCCTGACTATCAAGAAATAGACTCTGATGGTGATGGAATTCCAGATTATCTTGATGATGATGATGATAATGATGGAATTCCAGATGATGAGGATGATGATGACGATGAAAACGGTATTCCAGACCATCTAGAAAAGGACACTGATGGTGATGGCATTCCTGATTATCTTGATGATGATGACGACGGTGATGGAATTCCTGATGATGAAGATGATGATGCCGATGGAGATGGCATTCCTGATGAACAAGAAATTGATACTGATGGTGATGGTATCCCTGACTATTTGGATGATGATGATGACAATGATGGAATCCCTGACCACCTTGATGAAGATTCTGATGGAGATGGAATACCAGACTACCAGGAAGTTGACACAGATGGTGATGGAATACCTGACTACCTAGATGATGATGACGATAATGATGGGATCCCTGATGAATTAGATGATGATGATGATGGTGATGGTATTCCTGATCACCTTGAAAAGGATACTGATGGAGATGGAATTCCTGATTATTTGGATGAAGACGATGATGGGGATGGTATTCCAGACGCACAAGAAATCGACACAGACGGTGATGGAATTCCTGATTATCTTGATGATGACGATGACAATGATGGTATCCCTGATGATGAAGATGATGATGCAGATGGCGATGGTATTCTTGATGAACAAGAGATTGATACTGATGGTGATGGAATTCCTGACTACTTGGATGATGATGATGATGGTGATGGAATACCAGATTCTCAAGACACTGATGCAGATGGTAATGGAATCCCTGATTTTATGGAAAAGGATACTGATGGAGATGGAATTCCAGATTACTTAGACGATGATGACGATAATGATGGTATCCCAGATGTATTAGATAATGATGACGATGGTGATGGAATCCCTGATGATAAAGAAGATATGGATGGAGATGGTATACCAGATCATCTAGATCTTGATGCAGATGGTGATGGAATTCCCGATAAGCTTCCTGATACAGATGGTGATGGTATTCCGGATCATTTAGATACTGATGATGATGGTGATGGTATTCCTGATGATGAAGAGGATATGGATGGTGATGGCATTCCTGATTATTTAGATGATGATGCAGATGGTGATGGCATTCCTGATAAACAGGTTGATTCAGATGGTGATGGCATTCCAGATTATTTAGATGATGATGATGATAATGATGGAATCCCTGACAACATGGAAGATGATGAAGGCTGTACAAAAAACAAGAGATGTGGCAAAATTGCAGTGAAGAGAAGGAAGAAGAAGATTTCAGATGGTGGATCTACTACACTATTTTCACGTGTAGCTAAAGTTCTGAAGAAAATGATTATTGAAACTGATGAAGATGAACAAGATGAAGAAAGTCCCAGTGAAAAATACCAAGAGGACACCCAAGATGTGCATAAAAAACAACAGGCCCACAAGGAGGAATATGACTTAGTCAACATTCTGAAAACAACATTTTTCGGTGCTGAAGCAGACACGGATGGTGATGATGACGATGGTGATGACAACCCAGGTACAAATGGTGACAGCGAGTCTAAAAAAAAAGCCCAAATTCCTAACCAGCAAAAACAAAAACAACCAGTAGTACACCAGACTCAACAGAAAAAAGTAGACATTAAAATGAAAATAGCCCCTAAGACCATTAAACCCATTCCACAAGCAAAAAAGCCAGTGCAAGCAGCAAAACCTGTTCAACAAGCAGGGAGGAAGCCTGTCCAAAAACCTGTGGTGAGTAAGAAACCTCCAAGTGCTGCTATTAAAAAACCGGTTGTGCCTGTTAAAAATATAAACAAAAAGTCTCCTACTCCTGCTCAAAAAACTGTTAAACCCCAAACAACTAAACAACAAGCAGTTGTTAAGCAAAAAGCTGTGAATCAACCAACAGCTGCTATTAAAAAACAACAATCTGCACAAGCTAAACCTAAACAGCCAGTAGTACAACAGCAACAAAAAGTTAAACTAAATAAAGTTCCCATCCAGAAAGTCAATATCAAACAAGCACAACAACAGGCTCAAGCACAAATAAAGAAAAGAAAAGTAGGACAGTAATAGCGAGGTTCTTGTTAATAATTTGGTTCTTGTTATCTCATCATTTCTATGTTATTGCCCAAAATCTCAAGTCATGAGCATGTGTTTCTTTATCAAGTCTTTTATGATCGGTACATATAATGTTTCTTGTACTCCATTGAGAAATTTAAACTACAGAAGTTTGAAAACTCATTTATTCTCATTGAGGGCTTTGACAAAAAAGAAACCGAATATATTTTGGGTTAGCAGACATGGACTAAATGGCAGTATCATGGAAATCAGCTTCCGAAAATTTGCTGCATCTGCAATAGACATGAATTCAGGATTGGATTTTGGGAAATTCATGTCGCATCACATTCCCTTAGATTGGTCATCAAGTTACGAGGTGTTGCATACATCAACTTCTGTTCAGTATGTACTGGATGTATTAAGAAATCCCATATTATATCTTTCAAATATATTACTGTGTTGTTAATCAAGTTTTCGATTATCCCTTAAGAATCCCAATAGTGAATTTGGATGAAACCTACGATATGCTGTGATTGTTGGCACTGTGTGTTAACCCATTATTCACTCAACTTTTCGATATTTTATCACCTTTGTTTTAATCCAGATAAAGTGATATGGATATATTGTCAACTAGGTTATTAATTCTCAGATGTAAATTTTATACATATCTATACTTCTGGGGTATGAGTGTGGTAGTGTGTGAAATAATGGCTGTGTAATAAATTAAGGTATTAAATCTTTGTATGAATCAGGAGTTATAATTATAAGATCTTTGTATGAATTAAGTTATATTAGCTATTTGTATGAAATAAATCAGATCTTTTTATGGAATAAATAAGATCTTTTTAAAGAATAAATCAGATCTTTTTATGGAATAAATCAGATCTTTGTGTGGAATACATTTTAATATTTGTATAAATCAAATTATATATTTTATATTTATTAAATATAAATTTTGCATAGGTCAAATTTTAAGATCTGTAAAATCAATCAATAAAAGTTTTGTACAAATTACAATTTTTGTTATTCAAAAGTTATAACATCATTATAATTCAATAATAGAAATTAATTATGTTTTGGTTATTACATTGTTGCATAAATATAAATAAATTAAATTTAAAAAGTTTTGTTTAAATTAAATTAAATTAAAATGGCATATATTTTTAATATTACAACTACAAACGTTTATATTATATTACAACCAGAAACGTTTATATTGCATTACAATTGAAAATGTTTAAATTGCATTATAATTGAAAATATTTATATTAATATTACAACTGACACTGTTTTTAAAATGATAACAATGTCACTAAATTCATTTATGAATAAAGTTACAGTAATCAAATATTGTTTGTTTATCATGCAATAGTACTGTAAAATAAGTTTTACATCTAGATTTTTCTTAAATTTTCAGTGTAAAAAATGTTAGTTAAGCAATGCTTAGTAGGTTAGATTGTGTTATGCTTGGCTTGACACCCAATTTATTATAATGTTTACTTGATTAGGGTACGTATATTGCTTGTAACTAGCACCTGGATGTACCTTTTACTTACTAAGACAAAACAAAATATTTTTGATTATGTTCTATGTAGAATGATATCTGAAACATTGGCCAACAGACTTCCATTTACATAATAATCTGTATTATTCTGTTTTTATTAAAAATTCCGAAATTGTAAAAATAATACAAAACAAGAAGAATAAAAACAATCATAACAATATAAGATTATTAGAAATCTCCTTCACATATATTCTAAATATCTGTCCATAAAACATAATCAAAATCCATTTAGTAAGTTAAAAAAAAAACCTATGAATTTTAGATTTATATATCAATGTTAGCTAAGATAGATTCCCTGTGATATTAATTATTTATAATTATAAAGTTATTTGTCCACGTATGTGGTTATTCAACAAGTATGCATTATTCAAGAGCTAAATCTGCCTATTGAACTTCTTTCTTAAGGTCTTAAATGTTATATAAATTAAGACATTTATTAACAAGACAAGACCATAATCAACTCACTGGGCCATCCGATGCTCTTGATTTTCAACAAATTGTAATGATTTAATTAAAAAAAGGAATAATTGAGACTTTGTTTACTATTGTAACAACGGTAGCAATGACAATCAAGACTTTGCTATTATCCAAACAGCCCTAACTTTGCTCAGAATGTAGTAAATTTTCAACATATTGACTTTTCATTATCTATTATTTAACTACTATAGCGAGAACTGTCAGCTCTTTATCTAAATCTTACATAATGCATCTTTAACAAGTGTTCCTGATATTCTAATGTTAAATGAATATCTTGCAATGTTTAAAGTGCGGCAGTATTTTAAGAGCATAATGATATAAAATTCTCAGTATGGACAGTGTGGAGGTTATCTTCACTCAAGGTTTTCCATGCAAAAAGAATCATTTGGGCATAATATAACTATATTGACTATAGCATACACCCTTCTAATCTAGTCTATTATATGACAACAGTATATAAGTTGCTATAATTCCCAGAATGAACAGTTGCTACGTGAATTTTGAATACCGTAACTACTTTTCTAGATCTGTAAAACCAATACAGGCTTTTTTGTGAAAGGACTTTAAGAAAAATATGTTGCTATTAAAAATATTTTTTGTAGCAGAAACCCTGTGTAGTAAATGAAACATATAATTCAAATTCTGATTTAGTGCTACAAGGGAAGTTTTTTATTTAATACTTTTAGTGTTGTAAATTGTGTAAATAACCAAATAAATTATTAAAATATACAAAATCTTGGCTTTATTCTATTTATATATATATCCACAATCTTGGAATGAAGAAGTTATTTTCCATTGCCAATCTAGTTCAATATCAATAACACTTTTTACCATTTTTCTTTCCAAATGTGCAAGATTTTAAAGGAAAACAGTAAAAAAAAGCAACTGCATCATTTGCACCACTCAATAAAATCTCCAAAGATCTTTCTGTAATGAATTCCATTTGATGTAACTCCTAGATCAGCCCTAGATATTTTAACTTACGATATTGTCCATATTGCATTTAAAACACATTTAGGACAAGCCATAGGTAAACACCCCTGTCGTTTATAATACTGTGATAATAAGGTAGCAGAATATGGCAATTTGGTAGCACCAGAATTCAGCTCTCGTTCAAAATAACTTAAAACATCTTGATAGAAGATTTGTTTGGGGTGATTGTGACCACAAGTAAAGAAAATGGCTGACTGATGTTGTTCATCAGAAGAATCAATAGCTTGATCTAAATAATCTAACTCGCTGCGGGTTACTGACACACATAAACGATCACCAAGATGCTTCTGTAAGTTCTGAATAATATCCGTCCAAAGTCGATCATAAGGAATAAGTTTATGAGCAGACTGAAGCTCAGGATAATTTTCACTTTGATCTTTGTCATCTGGATTATCAAGGCCAATTAAACTAATCCATTTGGCTAATGTCTCATCTGTATCACCTGAAGTGGATTCGTTCTTTAAAAGTCTGTCTAAAACTTGCAAATTAAACTTTGTACTAAATGATGCTGAAGAACTCTTCACTTTAGTTTGTCCATTTTTACCATCTGAATTCCTGAAATAGATAAGATGCATTGTGAAAGCGAACCAAGCTGTAAGCTTAGCAAAATTACCACAACACGTACCCAACCACAAGATTGTATCCAACTCAGAGGTTACCCCAACATACAGCTATGTGTATGAGGGGCAAAACTGGTCAAAGTTTATGGTAACAACGTCCTACTTTTCTAGGTTAATGGAGATGGGCATATGCCATGCAGTGTGCTATGAGGGAAATTTGGCCTGGACAGCGGCGCTATCAGCCTACTCTTATATCGAATTCCAACTATCAAGGGTTCTTTTACGTGTATGCTAATCAGTACACAGAACCTTAGTTTTTTTGTCCCATCTGAATGATGAGACAGCTGTTCTTGTTCTGAAACCACAGTGGAAAATCCGGAGGAACTTTCAGGACCAACACCAGGAGAGAACCCAAGATCATCAGGCTACCAAGTCAGCATCTTACACACTGAGCGACCACTGCTCCCTTTTTATGAATTTATAACATGAAAAGTATTAAAGAATAAAGAACAGTACATAGGGTTAGAAAATGGAATATTCTCAGTATGAATAATACCCAGACTCAAGTTTAATAACAATAGTTATATACTTACTGAAATAATATTTGACTTAGTGACGATGATAAATACGACATATGATTTATAAAAATTTCTTCTAACTTTACTACTGGCAAATCCCATTTCTCCCAATACTGAATGACCTTAAAAGAAAAGGAACCATAGAATAAGCTTATGATGATTTAAAGCAATATATTCTATCTTGCTGTTAGCTAGTGTGTGTTAAATGAGCTAAGTCTCTAACTCAATATTTTCCATAATATTCGAAATTTAAAACACGAATTAGAATTCAATATTGATCAATTTCAACCAATATTGGTGTTGTTATCTTGCCATGAAACTATAGGATCCTAATATACAATATCTAAGACACAATTAACATTTTATAATCACCACACGAGTCGTGTACTCTATGGTTTCGGGTGCCTTTGTGATGGACAAATAAAAACACATCCTACAACACAATGTGGAAGTAATTAGTAAAGGCTGATTCACAATCGACAAAATAATAATTTAAAAAACATGTAGAATACACTAAGCAGGCATAACCGACTGTCGTTCAATTTGAACTGTTCACGTATTTCACCGAACATAATTGATTAGAAATTATATACATTCATATTACATTAATATGTGCTTTTAGACCATTTCACAATGTTTTGTTTGTACTAACAAAGTTAAAGATATAACTGCATATGTAACCTCTAGTTAATTACTTTTAAAAAATGATAGCAATAGAAAGAAACTAACCTCAATACACATGGAGTAGATATCTCTTTCTTTTATATCATCTCTTATATTATCACAGATTAATACACTGAAAAAATACAATATTAGATATCTAAACAAAAAAAATATTAGTGCTATATATATATTGCTTTTGAAACAATTCTATTGAGCAACAACTAGCTATGGGTTCCACTTCGGTCATATAAGCCTCTCAAGATCGATGGTCTTGACATCTTGTCAACAAAATACTTCAGTAATTTTTAGACCAACATACAAGTGGTTATTTTTCTATGGAGGAGAATTTTGCACGGACAGCCTTCTATTCATCTAGTTCTGGCTGTCAAGTGTTCTGTTATGTGTACACTCATGTACACAGGTGAAGCTCAGTTTTTGTCCCATTTGAAAAACTAGGCAATGACCCTGTTGTTCAGGCCATTGGCATTACATCATCACTATATGTTAACAACATAAATGATTTGCCTATCATCAGATTTGATGATTTTAATGTTTTAAAGGAAATGAAATTAATATGCTTAATGTCCTACTTTTCTGCACAGAATGGGCTAATGATAGCAGGCATATGCCATGCAGTGTGCTATGAGGGAAGTTTTGCCCAGACAGCAGAGCAAAGTCCTACTCTTAATTCAAATTACAACTGTCAAGGATTCTATTACCTGCATGCCAATGTGTACACTGGACCTCGGTTTTTCATCCTATCCTAACTACTATACATTATTTCTTGCCAGTGCATAAAATTAATGTATCTGGTGAGAGGTGTTTTTTTAACATACTAATTTATTGTTTTACAGTATTCAACTGACATATGATGTGTAATATCATGTACATGTAATCTTTCAAGCAATCTTCAATGCATGATGACAAATACAAAATAACCTTGTTATAAAAATATTTTGATTATTTATTTACCTGAAATGTTTTTCTATCACATCAACACTTATATCACAGAATTCTTCTTTACTTATATCTTTTATTTTACTTAATAATAACAAATGACAAGACAAAGCCTGAAATAATGAAAAATAATATTATTTTTATAATTCCACATTTAATTCGATCTTAATTCAATATACATAAGAAAATCAAAGTAAAAGATTGATATTTATTTCCTCCATGATCAGGATGTTAAAAGTTTGATTATCCCAGAAAAGTTCATACTGAAATTCATCAAGCTTGCAGGGCAATCAAGCAGTAGTTTAAAAAGGGAACCCCAAAAAGCATAGTCCTATAATAAATAAAGCTAATTTCCACCCTTTCAAACAAAAGCATCCATATTCCTAGAAGATTCTACAGCAATAAAGCAGACTATACCAATATTACCTTAGATCTAGTTACAGTGCTTCTTTATGACAAGGTATTAACCACTAACCTGACTATAATTATGATTAAGTATATTAATATCTGCTGCCGTCTGCCAATCACCTATGTCAACAGCCAGACGTAATATAGTTAAACTATTACAATATGATGGCATGTGCTGAAATAAATTAAACATAAATATATGAATATACAGAACAAGAAAAAAACCAACAGAGATTGAGATAGATATAGACCGACCCTATGATTTACAGTATATGTGTTAGACCACTTGACCACACCCGCTCCCCAATAACCAATATAATATAATGCTTTGCTTATATAAGATAACTTACCTTTAGAACTACTGGAATGGTTCTAGAACAATAAGGTTGTGTTCCTATAGTACCAAGATCGGGTAATCTGTATAATTCACAATCTTCTCCATAATATTCAGACACCTATACCATATCAACATAAATTAATATAATTGGTATTTATTGGAACCTCAACAAAATATTTAAAACTTTTGATTTTTAGGACATCTAGATTCTTCCATACAGATGTAATGTTATGTTTTATTTTTCAAAGACAAAATGGAAATATTTCCAGACCTAAAAGATGAATATTCACTGTAAAAAATATTCTAGTTATATAAAGAATGTAAATATTCACCGTAAAACTACCTTCTTTGCTAATTGGAATTTATAAGGAAGAAAGATAATAGACCCCTAATAAGCTGTAAAAATATTTTCTTTCGTGCTAATTTTGAAATCAAAATAATGCACAAATACATGTACTTACCCAAAGATCTGAATCACTATTGTCTGATGAGGCAAATAATCTCTGTTTCCATGATGTCTGCCCTAATGTATCATGGAAAGGAAGTTTAGTTAATATGGCAGGTGTACCTACAGCTTGTGTACTTCCAGTCCCGTGTCGTTTATAATTCGGAGACGAACGTTTCACATTTTGTATTGGTTTACTTTTAACCATTGGTAAACCAAGCTAATATTTAAAAATAAAATAGAACTGTAGATTACATGTATAATTTTCTTTTTAAAATTCATTTCTTCTAAATCCATTTTGCATAATGAACATGTTGATTAATATGTATCAGCTCACATTTTCCCCTTTAAAACATCTGAAAATGTAGGTGGAAGCATTCATGAGATGTTCCTCATGCTCAAAATTTTCATTTTTATATCAGTGATAAGTCTGGTCACCCTTTTGCTAAAACTGGCATTCTAACACCTTTTGATAGGACCAGAGTATTTGATATTGTTTGAGAGCCTAAAGACTTCAACTAGAAACCTACATGCCGAAATATTTAGCAATCCAAGATAATTATGTAATGTAACATATTTTTTTAATTCATCGCATTGAAATGATAGGATATGAATATGAAATGCGCTTTAATGTCTTACTGCTCTGCACCGACTGGCCTAATAAAGACGAGCATACGCCATTCAGTACGATACGGCCTACTCTTATATCGAATTCCAACTGTCAGGCTTTCTCTTACATGCAAGTCAATGTGTACACAGGACCTCGTTTTTTTGTAACATCCGTCGTGCACCACCGAGGCAATGACATGGGGAAAACATATCGGAAAATTCTGAGGAACTTTCTTGGCCAACACTTAAAATGACCTACCTGTCCACTTTCGTTTTTGCCCCAGACCCACACCTGGTAGTCACTATCAAGAGCTATAGTATATTCACCACCAGATCTAGCACTAATAAACTGATGATCATTAATCTTAGTCAACATCACAGGTATTTTCTATAAAAATAATCAAATGTAGAAATATATTTTCCTGAGACTTTTACAAAAGTAATCAAATGTAGAAATATATTTTCCTGAGACTTTTACAAAAGTAATCAAATGTAGAAATATATTTTCCTAAGACTTGTATAGGGTAAAAGGGAACATATTTGACAGTCAATTATTGACAAACACTAAATAATACGCCTATGAACTTTAAATATTATAAAATTAGAAAGCAAAATAGATGTCAGAGACCAAATGTTTATTGGAAGTGTGTAAATCTCTACACCTATTATACATTCAATTATACAAACTAGCCAGAGATAATGTGTACTAACTGATTCTTAATTCACATGAATAATAAAACAAAACAGTAATAATAAGCAGGATTCTATTTGCTATAAATGTGCCGTAATATTTGATATATTCTTTTCAAACACCTGATACTACTTTGACATGGGTATCATGAATCAATTTTAAACAGCAGAACACACTGATAATTCTTTTCTAACTTTTAATTTACATATTTTTGTCTATAGAGCTCAGACTTGGTATTAACCAAGAAAGAATGTTGTAGAGTAGGAACTCTTTGAATGATACATACACCAGTATTAATTGGGTTGATATGATATGTTATTCTGATTAAAGTCACGACTACATTTTTATTTTAGAAGATTAAGTGACATTATGCAAAGAAATATCAGTTTTGCTTTTTGTGATGCTCAAAAACCAAAAAAAAGAAGTTACCTCTTCTATCTTATGTCCAATCCCAAGTTGACCATCAACATTTCTACCCCATACATAAACATCTCCATCTGTTGTCAAGGCAACATTATGAAAACTGCCACAGGCTACCTATATATGTACATAATATGATAAATTTGTTTAAAATATGTTTAGCTTTGTAACAATTTTCATTTGTATTTAGAAGAAAGTTATATCTTTACTTTGTCTAGATTATTTACTTAACTAAGGAGAAGGTTGTAATATACATTTAAACAGAGTTATTTCCCTTGTTTATATCCCATACTTTATTATCTACTACTGGGTAACTTTCAGGAGCATTATATATATGCTTCCAGAAAAACTATCATAACAGAACTGTATCTGTATCAGATATATTTTATCTCAAAATATAATTGTAATGCCCAGGAAAAATCAAACTTTAGACTCAAATTGCTTATTTATCATAAAGGTCAACCACTGAGTATCAGACAGAAATCTCAGCACATGCAGCAATCATCTAATCATTGTAATGCATCGCAGCTATGTTAATATTGGTAGATTATCAAAATAGTATCCTTTGAATTATCTCGAAAAATATAATGTTTCGATAATAAATATATTTTTCCTGGTAGATTATTAAATGTTTTCAAATTTAGCAATGTAGCTTAGACAGCAATTAAAAATAAACCTTATACTACACATACCTCGAATTTTAAGGTAGAATAACAGTTGTAATAATATCCATACCTGTATAAGTTTACCATTTACAAATGATGTATCAACTAACACAGGATTTAAAAACCCTTGTATAGGATCAATCATTGGTTGACCATGTTGACGAGAACGTTTCATAGAATGGGCTGAGAAACGAAGACTATATGGATGACATCCCCAAGAATAAACATGATTATTGGCAGTGATCGCTACCTGAAAAAACAAAATAACCTTAGAAAGAAATCTAAATAGACTGAATATTTTCAGTTTTTTTCTCTATGTTTAAGCAAAAGTCAAACTCAACAAATTTACATAACAATTTTACAAAAATTTCATGATGCGTATATAAATAAAAAAAGAGAATCCAAATTCTTGTGACATTTATTTATAAGTTTGGAAATAAGAAGTCTCACATGATCCACACCAAAACATGAACAATTTACATGTTTTCATCTGAAACAATTTAAAATGTCGGTAAATATATATTATGACAATAAGTTTCTTAGTCATCATGAAATATTTATTTAATTCATAAAGTGCATTAAATATTCAACAATTTTGTTTAGTTTCCAACTGAGGATTATTTAACATTTACTTATTCAGCAAACTTACTGAGTGAAAATATTTAGTAGATATAGCTATGACACCTTCTGGTATTCCTTCTATTACAACTGGTTTTGTTCTTTTAATATTATCACCTATACCCAACTGACCAAAATATGCACATCCAGATGTATATATATCACCCTGAAATTCATTTAAAATCATCAATCATTAGTATCAATTCTATCCAAATCAAAGCAAATGTCTAAAAGAAAATTTTAAAAGACACCCCCCCCCCCACTCCATTAATCATTAATGTCTCTACAATGCTTCCACAAATTATTATATGAACTCTGCAAACTACAGAGAAAAGATTTATTTTCTAACCCGAAAACAGAGTTTATTTTAAAATACAATATTATAATACACTACACACCCATGTATAAGATGCATCCGTATAAGACACACCCACGTATAAGATGGGCCTAATAAAAGACACACCCATGTATAAGATGCACCCATATATAAGACACACTCAAGTACACGATGCACAATGAGTTGGCCAATTTTTTCAAGGTAAAACTTAAATGACATGTTTAAGATAAGGATCCAAAGAACTATATTTTTTAGATTAACATCGAAATTCAAAATTTTACAATCAAAGCCACCTTTAAAAGATTCTTCAAGTTACATGTAAAATGTCAACTACGTTAAATTGCTTAATTATAACAAAACAATCAAAAAAAGAAGTAAAACATGAACTCACATTAGCAGATAAAAATAAACTATGACAATACCCTGCACCGATTCTAATAATATCTTTACCACACAGTGACTTGATATTCTTAGGTACAAGTTGATCTTCAGGATCATTATGACCTAGTTGACCGTGAACACCCCATCCCCAACTATAAACACTGAAAAATAAACATCCATAGTATTGTACAACATTAACACAAAGTGGAAAAAATATATTAATGACTTAAAGACTGTTGTTGATATACAGAATGTTAAAATAGTCACATTCTCATGATTTCCTACAAGGTCCTAATTATTTGCAGAGAAAAAGAATGAGAACTATACTTTTCATTCTTAGCAATTGTCCACTTGACAGGCAGTGAAACATATGCCCACATATGTCACATATTTATTCTTTTGTAGGTAATGGGAGCATTTAAAAGACATTGATATCAAGGTTCTACAGAGAGAAATAAGGGCCATAACTCTATTAGTAATTAACAGAAATTCGCTTTACTTGTGTAAATAATGTACATAGCACGTCAATTTCATACAGATTGGATGATAACGTTTTTTTGTTGTAGTGTTCACAAGGTTCAACAATCGAAAACAAGGGCCATAACTCTAGAAGTAATTAATGAAAATTCATGAAATTCAAAAGGCTTCTTCATTTTCCTAATTTAAATAATGCAAATCAATGTAATACAGATTGGATGATAACTTTTTTCATTCGAACATTTATAAGGTGAAACAAGGGCCTTAACTCTAGAAGTGATTAGCAGAAATTGTTGAAATTAAACATGCATTATGTAAGAACAAAATCTGCCTATTACAAGTCTTTCTTTAGGCCTGAAATGTTATCTAAATTATCAATTAGACATTAATTAACTTATCCAGACCATAATAAACTCTCGATGTCAAGGCTAGCCTTCGATGTTGACTGGATTAGATTCCTATATGCAGCTTAACGGCCATTGATAATTAAATCAAAACAGTGGATAATCGAGACTATGCTGTTTATATTAATGATTTTAGTAATGATGACCGAGGCTATGCAAAAATTTCACCCGCTTCGTTCTCGGCTCATAGTGGATCAATTTGACTGAAATTTTCAGCAAATTACCTTTACACTATCTAGTTTTTAACTATTATAGCGAGAACTGCCATCTCTTTATCTTATCTCCCATAATGTATCTTTAAATAGGATTCTTCATTTCACTAATTTAAACATAAACAACAATGGACGAAAGGACTGACAGATACGATGACCATGTGCCGTATACAAATTTGGCATTCTTGAAAAGATAATGTAGATAAATTACCTGGTATTTTCTAAAAGAGCTAATATAGATAAAGATAATATAGATAAATTACTTGGTATTTTCTAAAAGAGCTAATGTATGATATTGTCCACATTCTATAGCAACAACGGTTTCTCCTAGTTCTAGAAATGTCTCCAATAACATAGGCCGAGTATAGGTATGACGTGTACCAACACCAACTTGACCATACAAAGAACTACCCCAACCATATACCTTCAAAAACATAAAGAGATCTGTCATCACAAAAACTACCTCAACCATACACTTTCAAATAAAAACTTTTATTTAGACAAATGTCAATAGAAGTTATCTAATTAAATTTAAAATCCTAATTAGAGTTAAACTGCTAAATCAAACAAAAATTTTATTGCTTGAACATCCTTGCATTGAACAAAACTGTCTTTTGATTGAATAGGATTTAATTCACTCTTTTTAAATTTAGTATCCTATAGTTTCCTAAACTATTCTTTTCTAGATGCCACTAAATTGAAAGTGCCTGCTTTATAAGAAAGTAATGATTGTTTTATATATTTCTTTCCTATGAGAAAACAAAATTGACTAATATTGGTTTAGTGATGATTGAATGTAATGCACTCGTTATCAGATAAAATATCAGTTGAAAAATGAGTCTGTTGGACTGTTCAATTTAAGCCGAACATCATTAGATTAAAGACTAAGGGAACCGTAAAGGATATAATTGTAATTCAGCTCCTTGTTTTGGTGTTTTTACATTAACAATTGGTTAAACTATCAGTAATTATAATGTATGAATTGAAGTGTTCAATAATTACATACGCCTTGTTGTGTTATTGCCATGGTATGTTGTTCACCACAGGAAACAGAAGAGACTTTAATTTGTAACATATGTAATGTTTCTACACGACATGGTGTACAAATAGCTCTATCTGATACTAAATCACCATGTCCTAATCTGAAAAACAAACAATTAATGTAATATAAAGTGGACTCTGTCACTTCTGACATCTGAATACTACGGCAGTCTATGAAATCCGTCATCATTTTCATGTCCCGATCTATTTCCTTATTACTTCAACCAAAAAAGTTTTGAGTAGTCTGGATTCTGAATATTCCGAATTACGGCATCAATCAGCGGTCCCGTCACAAAATTTGTGTTCAATTAACATTGGATAATCTGGCCTTCAATTAGTGGGTCTTAACCGACAAGCAATCACCAATCAATTATCTGTGAGCATATAACACGTGTTGGTCTTTGTTGATTACCTTGATAATTTCATAATCACCCGTAAGAGAGTGTTTGGTATTTGATTTGAGTTTCTCACATCAAATATAGCGACATTATACATAAATTGCCGAGATGAAGAATCACTATCATAATAATATTGTGTTCATAATGTGTGATCATACAGAATGTACAGAAAGCGTTATCATATTTTAAGTTCTGGGTATTCAAGGGTGCATTATAATAAGAATACTTCTGGTATTCGGAGGTACAATAATACTTTTGGTATAATACTTCCGATATTGAGGTAAATGAGTGTTTCGACATGCTGTGTAATCCGGCATATTGTATTGATCCAGTACAATGTCAGAATTGACAGAGTCCACAGTAATAATGTAATTTAATGAATGACAAATACATAAACGTACAATACTGTCATTTAAATGAATTACATCACCTCATTACTGATTATTGACACAGGACAAAAGACATGACTGACCTAAATATAGAAAACTTTAGGGACGAGTTATTTTGAGATGATCTTTTAGAGGCATTTAGTAACTTGCTTGAAAACGTTGAGAGTATACTCTTCGAAACGTCCCCTAAATAAATCAATAATTGTCCTTCCATAAGTTTATTTTGAGACATTTTGACTCTTAGCACCTAATGGGTAAAGGTCCACCCAACACAAACTAGTTCATTTTGGACAAATATATATATAATGTACTAGCAGGATACCCGGCTTCGCTCGGGGGTCATAACTCCGAAACCGGAAGTGGTAGACTAACGCCACCTGGCCTATGTTACTCCCTGGTCCGAGCTACCCCTATACCCCAACTTTCAGACTCGGGGCAGATGTAGCCGCCAACCCCGAACAGACAGACTTCGCTCGGGGGTCATAATTCCGAAACCGGAAGTGGTAGACTAACGCCACCTGGCCTATGTTACTCCCCGGTCGGAGTTACCCCTATACCCCAAATTTCAGACTCGGGGCAGACCTAGTGTAGCCGCCAACCCTGAACAGACCGGCTTCGCTCGGGGGTCATAACTCCGAAACTGGAAGGGGTAGACTAACGCCACCTGGCCTATGCTACTCCCCGGTCCGAGCTACCCCTATACCCCAAATTTCAGACTCGGGGCAGACCTAGTGTAGCCACCAACCCCGAACAGACAGACAGACAGACAAACGGCAGTCACAAATATATATATAGATGATAATTTTTAAAAGACCCTGGTGGGGAGGAGGGCAATAACAACCCCTGTCCTGTCAGAATCTATTTTACCTCCCATCTTTTGCCCGTCCCCAGGTATATAGATCACCATTTCTAATAGCAGCTCCATGATCTGGTCCACCACCGATTAAACTACACTGTAAAGCCAACTTAGGTTTCTTCTGACTAGATATATTCTCTTTCTGTAATTCATATATATATTAACTTAAAACACATACTGATATTTATAGGATATTAACCTACCCGAGATTGATATGGTAGAGAAGCCCAAGCGTTCTCTACCATATCAATTCGAGGGAGAGTAGGTTTATATCCGACATATACAACGCCATTTCACCCTTAAATTTAATGGGCTCTTCCATTAAAAGGCAACAACAATTGGATAATTGCTCGATAGTTTCCGCCAAATAGCGAAAATTACCGAAGTAATCACGTGCAATTACGTGCATGTTTTTGTTTATACGTCGCCATTTTGGACTATTGAATTGAAAGCAAAAACAAAATGGATAGTAATACGAAGTCAGACGAATAATCAATCCTTTTTAGCCAACATATTGACGATGGAATAGATGTGAATGCAAATATCAACGAGGATCTATCCAAAGCCTGTTTTAAGGGGACTGTACCCAAAAATAATTTACAAAGGAACTCTTGGAGGATAAATACTTTAAAGTCTTGTAGTGTGTGGAGAAATAATCGCAATGTTGACGAAAAGAAAATTCTGAAAGATGTCTTAGACATGGATAACCGATCTAAATACATGTATGTCAATAAGTATGCCATCTATTTCGGTCCTGAATGTTAGAAACTGTACCATAACAAATTTTAATTGTCAAAAGAATAAAAATTTATTTCTGTGTTTTTTGGTATTATTTCGATCATCTACGTCATCAGCGGTTGATATGAGCCCAATATATATACCTGAGATGACGTCATTAGCGGTTGATATGAAATATCAACCTGTCATGACTCATCAGCGGTTGATATGAACGAATATATCAACCTATGATGATGTCATGACAGGTTGTTATGAGATATAACTGCTATTGACATCAAAGTAAAAACTACCGCCAGATGTATATATATAAATCAATCTATAAAAACTTTAGAGGAGCTCAACTATATCCTCTCACAAGAAGACTCAACCTATCTAAAGAAAAAAACATAAACTCCCTGTGCCAACAACAGATGTAAAATGGTTTTACGTCTGTTTGCCTTGAAGGTCATTCATATACTGAATAATGGAATACTTTCTCTGGAATTTCATAGTCTAGAAGTTGAAGGAAGTAAAATAAAATGGGATTTTAACCATCTTACTTTCTGCACCAACCAAGCTCATGAATACATGCATTTAACAACCAGTGTGCATTGAGGTAAATTTTTCAAGGATACAAGGACTGGCTGAAAAGTAGTAAGCTTATCTATGATAGACCTGTACAAAGTCACTAGCTGTTCACAGCTGACATGACATCATCATTACTAGGAAAATGAGGACCGGCTAGTTCCTTTTTTTTATTTTTGGAAACAGGTCAAGAGCTTTGGCACCCAGTTTTGTCCATTTCTGGTGATTTCACAAGATGGTCTGGTACGAAGACAATAATAACACTATAGTTGCAGTTCTTATATCTATGATTCATTCAATGATTGTACTTGGTGCTGGCAAAAGTTTGTTTCAACCCAATTGATCTATCCTTTCAGACTTAGAACTTTTCAGTCAGCCCTCGGAGCAGTGCTTGACTCTATGACCTAGTCTTATTTCCACTGTCAGGAGATATTTGACATGCTGCCAGTGGTATACACAGGACGTCAGTTTTTCGTCCCATCCAAATGAATATACACTTTCAGTTGTCCTGTCAAACTGACATGGAGAAACCTGGTTGTATAAATCTGGGGATCTTACTAAAAACAATAAAATATACTTACTATTTCTGTATAATCAAAATCCCAGTTAGTTAAAAGTTGATGAATATTAAGAGGTTTGGTACAGTTTAACTGTCGTCTAGTATTCAGTAGGAGAACTATTCGCAGAAAAAATTCAACCAGTTCATAAATATCAATATTATCGCTGATCTATCAATAAAAGAACAACATCGTAATAACACATTTAATGGTAATTAAACACAGGCACAGTGGCTCAGTGAGTATGAAGCTGGCTCATCTCTAGCTAGGTACTGGGTTCGATCCCACAATCAACAGATGTTGATTCCCATGTCTGGTTTTATTTTAGATGGAGAGCCTGGCAATGAAAATGGTTTAGTCATTTTTAAGGGATGAAAAACAGGTTCTCTTTGCACACTCGTAGCAACATAAAAGATCCCTTAGCAGTTACTATTTCTGTATAATCAAAATCCCAGTTAGTTAAAAGTTGATGAATATTAAGAGGTTTGGTACAGTTTAACTGTCGTCTATTATTCAGTAGGAGAACTATTCGCAGAAAAAATTCAACCAGTTCATAATTATCAATATTATCGCTGATCTATCAATAAAAGAACATCGTAATAACACATTTAATGGTAATTAAACACAGGAAAATTATGTAATTTTAAAGGGGAAACAGTAGATCAAGAGCTAAACCGGTCAAGATGTTCGATCAGGCACAGTGGCTCAGTGAGTATGATGCTGGCTCATCTCTAGCCAGGTACTGGGTTCGATCCCACAATCAACAGATGTTGATTCCCATGTCTGGTTTTATTTTAGATGGAGAGCCTGGCAATGAAAATGGTTTAGTCATTTTTAAGGGATGAAAAACAGGTTCTCTTTGCACACTAGTAGCAACATAAAAGATCCCTTAGCATTTAGAATTTGATGAAATTTCCGTCACAGCACATGGCATACGCCTGTATTCATTAGCTAGTGCAGAAAAGTAGGATTGAAATGAAATGAAATGGGGTTTAATGACCTTCTTTTCTGCTCCGTCTGGGCTTTGAGGGAAATTTTGCGCTATGACCTAGTCTTATATCGAATTCCACTTGCCAAGGATACATGCACCTAAATGTGTACAAGAGACATTGATTTTTCGTCCCATCCTAACAATGTTTACATTGTCCCTTGCTAGGCCCTCTGTCTTGCACCAAGATGAAATTTCTCAACCAACACCGGGATCAAACACATGACCTCCAGGGCAGTGAGCCAATGTCTTACTCACTGAGTGACCGTGGCTCCCTGAAAAGTAGGATGGTGAACCCCATTTCATGAACGATCAAGTGCAGGACATGGAGCAGAATCCGAATGTGTAATATATTATATAATTTTGAACTATATGTTGAACAGTCATCTTTTAAGGACCGTCACTTGCTAAGCCTCTTCCATCTTTCTTGGCAATGCTGCTAACCCAGAAAAAATCATCCCATTACATTAAATACGTAAAAATAAAAGTTTGTTCACAAATGTGATTAAGGATTGCTTACCATCATGACTTCTGATTGTTCTCCGATGAATGATGTCAAAGAATTTAAACTTGTAGTCCTAAAAATGATATGAATATTGCTCTATTAATTAATGGAAGCAGGAGGACACAACTAGCAATAAAGTAGATGATTATAGTTGCATGGTTCAAGTCCTGAATTCAACTTCCAAAATCCAGGTCAGCTGCAAGTTATGAAAAGTGTTCTGCCTACTGCCTACCACCTACTATGGTCTGATTTTCACGAAATTTGAACTCAACCAAATTACGGGGTAACGGTGATATATTCGAATGTTTTTTTTAAATCGGATAATAATTGTGACCTCTAGAGGGACCACAAGCTAAAAACAGGATTTTTCGAACAATCAGGGGCCATAATCCATGAAGTTATGGTCCGCTACATGCCAATATCGCAAGGAACCAAGATCTTTGTGAGATAGACCTATATTTCAAAATCAGATAAAAATTGTGACCTGTATACTGTCCACAAACAAATTGTGGAGGGTCAGATGTCCGGACGGACAGGGGAGTCAGCATAATACGCCCACATACATGTAAACATTAACAACCCCAGTCCACTGCAAAAATTAAAGAAAGCTGGTATTTTTTACTCTGATCTTTGTAAATTATTTTTGAAAACACCTGAAACTACTGCTCCCAAATCAGTATACATTCCTTAAACAATTCACAGCTATTTTAGGGTGACCACCCATACTGCAAAATGTTTCCAAGTCCCGCGTCCTGAAAACCAGCCAAAATGTCCTGCGTGGAAGACTTCTATTACTGTAATATGCATGAATCTAGTCTCGCGATAGTCTATTTGAGTATGGGTCTAGTCAAAATACTGACAGACCCACCACAAATTGCTTTAGAAGGTTTTTTGGTACCAAGTTGTAGATATAGATGACCTTTCCATGTGCATCATACTAAAAATCCACCGAAATCCACGGGCGTGGTTCCCCCTTGCCACTGGTGCAGGACAGGGGGCCTTGGACAATGTATACTCATTCGGATGAGACGTAAAAGAATTCTTGGCAGCTAGATTAGCGCTGGTCTCGGGCAGAATTTCCCTCATCTATAAGGACACGATATGGCGTATGCCTGTCTTCATTAGCCCATTTCGTTTACTATTAAGTCAAAGAAATAAATGTTTTAATGTAATAAACATAAGAAATGGAAAATATTGCTTGCCGCCAAGACAAAAATCAACGAATATAATTTATATAACAATGACACCCATACCCTTCTCTTGCAGTACAACTACAACAACTACAACCGACAACACCACGGCCGCCTCCATACTCCAAGAAAATAAAATTAAATAAATATTTTTAATCCACATCTTATGTTAAAAAAAAATATTGTAAAGATCTGAACTACTAGTAGAAATCTCAGTTCTCAGACAATACATTTTCTAAAATCTCCAGCTATTTACTTACATATTGCAACTTGGAAAACATGCTTTTTCGTATGCTGGGCCTTTTCTATAGAATAAACAGCCAAAGCCAATTATTGTCAGTGGGCCATTTCAAACTCAAAACAGTCGAGGGAGAGAGAGAAGAGAGAGAAACAGACACACTATAATTCGATTGCACATAATGTCGTTAGCTATGGGGAGAAACCAGTGGAGCAGGAGAAAAGTCACGAGGTTAGACGGCGAATCTATTCCTTAGAACTATAAACTTCAGCAACAAACCTCTGTCTAGACCTTGACTTTCTTTTAAGAAAACCTTGCATTACTTGTTTAGAAGGATCAAACACTTCTGCTAATCTAGATAATAAATCTATATGTAAATTTGTTATTTCTGTTTCCAGTAGATGGATGTTCTGTATAGCTAACTGAGGTTTAACTAATAACAATTTAACTAGATCTTCACTACATAAACACTGGATAAATGTTCCTGAAAAACAAGAACAAAGTTTCATCAAATTACATACCTGTATATATCTTAGTTAGTACTTTATTCCATTTTAGTTTACTTACTTCTAAATCTAATGTTTGAGATGATTACTTAAAGAATTAAGTTATGAATTAAATTAAGAAATAGCAACTGAATAAGTGGAGCTGAAGTTAAGTTTGATTAATGCAATACATGTTTTTCTTAGGCAACAAATGATTGTTACAGGTATATAATTGTGTAGGCCTATTCTAAATGAGCCTTTTCCATTTGCAAAAGAGTCGTATTACCCGAAATGTTACGAATAAACCACCACTCAATACTTAGTCTGTTTGTACTACTGTTGAGCAAAGAGTAGGTAAATTTATATATTTTCCTACCTTCTCCTGCCTTCAATAAATGTGCCTGGAAACCTCTAGAAATAAGATCTTCTAATAAATGTAACGGTATATTATACCTTCCTTTAGACTGTAATAAATCTAATGCTTCCATAACAAGACCTCTCGCCTGATAGTACAAAAATAAAATCATGACCACTGTATGTCACAAGCTAGACTTTTCAAATATATTTAAAAAGTAAAAAATATGCATTATTTTTATTAATTAAAGATACATTATGGGAGATAAGATAAAGAGATGGCAGTTCTCACTATAATAGTTAAAAACTAGATAGTGTAAAGGTAATTTGCTGAAAATTTCAGTCAAATTGATCCACTATGAGCCGAGAAAGAAGCCGTTGAAATTTTTGCATAGTCTCGGTTATCATTACTAAAATCATTAATATAAACAGCATAGTCTCGATTATCCACTTTTTCTGATTTAATTATCTTTGGCCATTAGCGGCATATAGGAATCTAATCCAGCCTAAATCGAAGGCTAGCCTTGACATCGAGAGTTTATTATGGTCTGGATAAGTTAATTAATGTCTAATTGATAATTTAGATAACATTTCAGGCCTAAAGAAAGACTTGTAATAAGCAGATTTTGCTCTTGCATAATGCATGTTTAAGCTTAGCACATTGGACTATAAAAAGAACCGCATGAAGAATAAACTGGCTTGTACAAAAATGATAGCACAATTACTATACTATATTCATCTATCAACAGCAACCAATGAAAACTTAGTTATACCATCTCTGTTCAATCTGAATAATTTTTAGACAAATATGTTTTATAATGAAAGTTCTTTTGATTGTATGTGGTGTTACGAGTCTATATTTAACATTGATTCTGACATGTTGGGGTATTAAGAAGAAATATAATATGTAATAAAAATCAATATCTCGGGCAGTTTGAGGAAGTCTAAGGAACAGCAGTTTCCGTGAGTTTCAGTGTGTCCAGGTGTGTACTAGTATTAATATATCACTTTTCTCTAATTGTCTTCAAAGATCTGGGTATTAAACATCTACATGTACCAAGTCCAGGTTAATCCAATATAATTTATATATCTTTAATTACATGAATGATTACCTTGGCAAAATCTAGTATCTGTTCAATAAAACCATATTCAGCTAAAAGTTCTAAGGCTATTTTTTCATCAAAAGAAAAACTTCCCAGTAGAAATGTTCTGAAAAACAACCCACCCTTTAAATACATAGAACTGAACTAATATGATCACATAATCAATTGATCCCAATCAATGTAATACTTATCAAGGAACAAGCATGTTTGCAAAAGCACTTTCAAGGCCATTGAAATACTGTCTTGGCAAAAGATCACGTAACATTGTGATTATTGATTGACAGTAAAGAGATTGTGCAATTAAATCCTGTCAATATTATTCCAGTTTCTTTTGCTATGGCAACAGATTCTAAAAACCATGAGGATTTTGCCTGTTTATCTTAATATGATCAAGCCCATGAAATATAGCGTATAATATGTAGCATACTGTTTTAGAGACGACTAGGCCCCCACTCCATCCATAATAAGAACAAGCCAAAAGTGAGGTTGATGTTCCCCACCGAAATAAATAGATGACACATATAAATTAATTACACATTTATCTTTTTCAAAAGTATCGAGCAATCAAACTGATTATCAACTATACACCAATTTGCATCACTCTCTATCAGATAGAATCAAAGTCAAAGAAATTGCTTGGCTCTGCTTAGCTTTAGCAGGAAATGTTAATCATTGAACTCAATCAAGACATTCACCTAATGAACATCAACATCAATTTTAAACATTCTACCTCAATTAAAAGCAGAGTTGTTATGTTCCAAAGTCTTGACCAATCAAATTGCTTATTGCTCCTTAGCCTAAGCAGAAAATTCTCACCATCAAACTTAGTCAAGGTAATGATATGAATCTATACTCGTAGTTTCATAGCTCTCACTTAATCATAACCAAAGTTATTGTGCCCAAAACCATCAACCAATCAAATTGCTTATCTCTGCTTACCATAAGCAGAAAATGCTCATCTTCGAACTCCATCAAGGCATCGACCTAATAAACACCTACACCAAGTTTGAAAATTCTAGACCAAAAAGTGTGACAGACAGACAGACAGACGAACCCATTTTAATAGTCCCCTGCTTTCTTGGAAAGGCGGGGGACATAAATATAGACAAAGTCAGTTAAGGTAACTGACAAAGTCAGTTAAGGTAACTGAATTTGAATAATACTCAAATTTCTGAAAAAAATAAATTAAACTCACCTGAAATCTTGTAGAAATTCTGTACTGTTATTTTGTCTACTTCCTATTTGGTGTATATAACAACGTAGTGCTAGATCTGACATATGTTTTCTTTCTGCTGTATTTAACTCAATATGACTATTACCCAGAACTCTCTGTAATAATGTCATTGCTTCTGAATAATACTTATGCTTTAATAAACTGGTTACCCTCTTTAAGTATGAACACTGAAACAGATTAAAAATTCTTCATAGTACACAAAAACAAAAATATTTTATCTGAAAATATTGTATCTTTCTTTATTTCTGTGCAATGCTAGGAAAAAGAATTTTGTCCAGACAGAAGCATTTTCAGTTTTTCATCCCAATCGAACAACTAGACACCAGTTTACTTGTCAGCCTGGTTTGAAAATTCCTGTAATTCTTTTCGACCCATTCTGGAATTCCAACCTGGGATATCCAGTGGTTTTATTGTTTGACTTCCACGGCCCTTCAGGAAGTCGTGAAGAAAATAATAAATATACATATCGATGAAAAGTCTCACTCAAATCAGGGATTCACAAATCAAAAGTACATAGTTAATGAAAAGAATGATTAGATGGTACTTACTTTAGATATATGATAAAGATTGAGAGCTTGAGATGCTTGATTAACTTCTAGAAGATAATCAGCAGCTAATTCAAACAGATTGGACAGATTTAACCCAATACTGATACCTAAAGATTCTGCTATAGCAGCATCACTATTCTCTACTGCTAATTTTATAAATAATCTTTCAGGTGATGTTCTACAAAATATAAACCCCATAATCAAATAATCTGATTATAAATTTGTAATAATTACAAAATAATTTCAAAAATACCAACAAACACTCCCAAAGTAAAATCATGAATATTAGTTTCCGTGGCTACATCCACTTACACAAATTAGGTCATTTCAAGACAGACATATTTTTACCTCAGTAATTGGGGGAAAACAAAGACCGCTAAAAAAAACTCACATGGTTAGGCAGACAAATCTGCTTTTTGTGACACAGAAGCATAGGATAATAAACCAAAAATTGATCATAGACCATATGATTTAAATTACTATCATTAGACACCTCTGTCAAACCATCCCTACCTAACATCTTGAGACAAAATAGTATGTAGGGCTTAGAAGTTTACCTTGGTCTACATTCAAAGACAGAAGAATTGGTAACTATGATACAGCCATCTAAAACAGTATGGGATGTAATAGGTATTGACTGTAGAGATGGAATTCCACTTGAATCATTCTTTTCTTGCTTTGAGGCAGCTTCTGCTTTCTCATGCCAATAAAATGGAAAACTCTTTTTCTCAGTTCCCAAGACTTTTTCTCCATGTGGCATCTCAAACTTTTGCAGAATAGCATCTTTATTGAAATCCTGGAAGTAAATAGGAAATGGGTAATACATGGAAAAAAAATATAATCCAATTATTTAGTCTGATATTAAATTTTGTTAATGTGAAAATTAATACAACATGGTGCTTCAGCATGCCTGTGACATACCCAAAATTTATCAAAATATTTTGTTTATTTTAATACTCTTGAAAATCATAAATAAAGAATTCTGTACCCCGTAGATACTTTAAAGATATTTCAAAGATCTACATAACAAGGCAGTAATTCATGTGTTATAGATAAAATATACAAATCTTATCTTAATGAAAATTTAAAAAAATTACAACTAACCTGTTGATCTTCTGAAGAGATTTCTGCTTTTTGATTGGATATAACAAGCAGACGTTGTCCGTGTATACTAGATACAGCAAATATAATACTATCAGTTAATATCACATCATATGTACCGATAGGTAATTTATATATGAAAAATGGTGAATGTTCTACACAGCTATCATATACCTGGAAATAGACAGATTTATTCATTTATTTATTTATCTATCTATAAAAGACATTTATTCATTTGCAATTCATTAAGACTGGAATTAATTCCACTGCCCTTGAAAAATCTTCCTTTTGCTGGATAAAAAAAAGTTGGTAATATCTTTGTTGAAAAAACTCATTTTCACAAAAAGAAATTACTTAATTTATAATCTTACTATAAAGTTACATCCGCTATATTCAAATTAAATTGAATCAAAATTAGGTGAAGTATGTCATGGTATCACAGAGATATATACATGTTGTTATTATTAACCGTCAATTTACAAGTCATATCAAAATTCAGTTTTTTAGTGTTCAATGAATGCCAGTGAAAAATGTCTTACTATGTCCCTGCTTGGATTATTAATAACAAGGCTACGTCTATGCTTATTCTGAATATGTTAATCAAAATCATCTACATTTATCTTTCTTCTTTGGGAGAGATATTGTCTATTTAATTTGGTATCTGTTTAATTTGAGGTTGCCAAATCTGTTTATTGGATTTTATTCTGTTTAAGAGAAAGCACAAAGAGTTGTATAAAATTTAAAAAGTTGTATGAATTCAAAAGTTGTATAAAATCTAAACAGTACAAAATTGTTTACCTGATATGTTGAAGTTTTATCACAATGTGCCGTTACAAAATGGCGGCCCTTAGCATTCTGAGGATACAGTATCACTGAACGATCAAATTGTTGAAATTTAACTGGTGTAAACATTGATCGACCCTCATCTGAAACACAAGTATCCAAAATAAAATAATTCAGCAATATCATATATTTTCTAAGTTTGATGAAGATCTATATAAAAATTCATATTTCTAATTGTTACAAAAACTGAAAGAGAGTGCAATACATTTCATATTGAAATGATGCCTAAGCAACACAAGCTAATGTTGCATCAAACCATGGCCTCGTTTTAACACCTGTGAACACACAGAAGAACAAGACATATTTTTTTTTTGTTACTGGTACAATAAAATACAAATTCCACCCTGTTAAATTAAATTATATATTAACCCTGTTAAATTAAATTATAGGCCCCTACTGTGCTATTGTTAAGTCTGAAATTGAACAAACCAAACTTTGCTAATCTGAACAATTCATTTTCAGATTTGAAACAGAACAGTAGTTGAAAAAAAAGGAAGGGAATGAACTTTAACCATAATAGTTTAAAAGTTATTTTACCTGATTTAACTAAAATATTTTTAACAATGGGTAATCTTTTGTCTGCTCCAAATGCACTAACATCATTTAATGGTGTCCATCTTTGTGGCGAGCTACTCTCAAGAAGTAATTTCCATTGGTTACCAGAATTTCCTGTAATCTGCAAAAGGGAATACAAAATTTTACAAAACATGCAGGCATTATACGGGGCAGGCAAAAATAAAGTGTCTGTTTAACTGTGCATTATTCTGCTATCTATCTAAATCTTTGCTTTGAACAGATTAGAGCATATGGATATTTACACATAATAGATTGGTATTCACACACACACTTGATTGGTATTTATTCAATATAAGAATTCATAAAAAAACATAAATCATTATTGTCTTACCAACAGTGATGTTGTCATCTGTTGATCATCTTGTACAATATCTAAATCAATTACACAGCCATTAACAGATTTACTTGTAACTATCTTTCTTCGTAACAAATCAACAAATATAATTTCTCCTTCCTTAGAAAAGATTATGATAACATTATAATAAATAAAGCTTAGGACCATTGTGAGTGTCTGTCGACTTGTGATTCAGATGTTGAAGCCGCAGTGGCTCAGTGAGTAGGCAGTGGCCCACTAACTAGGAAGTCCAGCTGGGTTCCATCCCGGTGTTGGCTGAGAAAGTTCCCAGGGAATTTCCAGTGTGGTGTCCCCTTGTCAGTGGTGCAGGATGGAGGGTTTGGTAAGGACAGTGTGTAGTAGATCAGATGACGATGATAAAACCGAGGTCCAGTGTATGCATTGGCATACACATAAAAGAACCATTGACAGTTGGAATTTAAAATATTTATAAACTCTGTCAATCCTCCTTGCAGATTATTTCAATTTATTCAAAGTTAATAATTATTACAACAAATTACCCACCTTGGTGCCATATATAGCAATCTGATCATCTTCCCATGTATGCCACCAACAAATTTTAGTAACAACACCTGTAAATACATTCCAAGTTATAAGAGCAGAAAATAAATAATATGATCAATAGATGTTTACAATAAAATCTGATTGAGAAAAATGTAAGATAATCTTACCAGCAGGCTTTGAAAGAGGAATTAAAGTAGCATCATTTGTTGTCCATAGTTGGTTTATTCTAGCTTTGGGTTCCTTTAAACGAAAGTAAATAAAATATAATGAAAATAAATAAATAAAATAAAATACTATTCAGTATAATTGAAATAATATCCTTTGTTAATGTACATATATTGGAATGGAGAGAAAAAAAGATTTGAGATTTTAATGCCCCCAAAATATACATGACATTTGCAAATGTTTTCAACCAAAGTTCTTCATTGCAATTTAGTCTTCCAGGTGAGCCTGGCCTAGCTATCTGAAACAAGACAAACTGTGAAAATCCTAGTTCTTAAAAAAAATTACTTAGGGCAGAAATCCAGATTAGTCCAGATACTGTTTAAACAAAAAAAAGTTACTCTTATTTATAACCATTATAACCAAATATATGTAGCCTTTGTTCCTTTCAAAAATTTCAACACAATCACAGGATACTTCCAATCATACTATAAATTTAAGGCCCTCATTTTGAGATCAGTTTCCAATTCTGTAATGAGTGATAATAGCATTCCGTGAAGGAACTCAACAGGGTTCACTCAAATATACTATTTTTCACCTCTTTTAAGTCTTAAATCTGACATGTACTCCTAAAACTCACCAAGAGACATAAGGCCGGAATAATATAAATATCAGGACTTTCTGTTAAAACAAGCAGCCATACTAATGTTGGATCAAAACAAAGAGAAACAATTGTGTTTACTTTTGGCCATGGTATTTGCTTTATAATGGGAAGATCACTGGCAGGTTTGTATCGAAGCAACAGATAATCTGAAAATTAAGAGAAAACAAGATGCTGTGAGATTTAATGCAGCAATAATAAACAAGACATTTACAAATGTTTTTTCACCCCTTTAATAAACATTACATTTACAAATGTTTTTCAACCAAAGCTCTTCATTGCAATTTATTATTCCATATGTCATGGCCGCTAATTTAAAACAAGACAACTTTGGTAACCTTTAAAGTGTTTAAAAACACTTTGATAAGCTATGCAATACAGTATCCATGCCTGGAATGAAAGAGTCACTCTGGGTCCGCTGTGCCGTCTAGCTACAATATTATCACGGTAATACTGTGTTTACCGCTACAATTGATACAGTCTTCAGAGGCCTTGCATAGCAGTTGGGTTTCGTCAAATCATATAATTATACAGTAAGGCTTCACCTTTATTTCAATGGGAATTGGTTTATTATATGTTAAGCTATATATGTGCAGTACAGTTTTTGGTCAGTTTATGTGTAAATTAGGGGCGCTATAGGTAAGCATTTTTTTTTTTAGTCATTTAACTAAAAAACTTGCTCAAAGGAACACCTTAGGACGATCCACTACTATGGCTGGAGTAAGACCGAAGACATCTGTAGTTGAACCATGGCATTTCTATGTGCCATTATGTCATGTACGCCCATCCCTTCTTGATCATGGCACTCCTGCGTCATCCTGATTTCCTGTATTTTGTGGGTTTAAAGTAGCTAAGTCTCTAACTCAATATCACCAAAAATCTTCGACATTGAAAACACGAATTATTTGTCAGTTCAAATCAACATTGGTTTTTGTGATCTTACAGGGAAAAGATGGGCTTCTGATATCCAATATTCAAGACAAAATAAACATTTTATCGTGTACCATAATGCGTTTCAGCGCCAATTGGAACAAGGGACTCAAAGAACGCGGCTAGACATATTCCACAAGTCATGTCAAATGGTGATGCTTTATTCTTATCTGGAGAGCATGCACAATAAATATCATCGGTGTAGACTGGAATAACCAGACGCTAAGTATTGCTATTAATGGAGACTTTTGGCGTATTTCGCCGAACATAACTGATTAGAAATTACAGTAAAAGCAGAAACGGTTGAATGTAAATCAGCTTATATACATTCAACATTGACATATGCGTAAATTGTGACCCATTAATTTGTGTCAATTTCTAGGTCCAAAAATATTAGCGATTTAGCTCCTTTAATTAAAGCTGCTAGTGCTAATTGTAAATCAATTATCCCCATTCTGTGTGAATACTAAATGCTCCTCACCATTTGAGCAATATACGGCAAGCAAACACTTTTCACCTTCCTCTCGCCATGCATATCTTTTGATGGAAACTTTTTCCGGTGAAGGGGAAGGCGACGGAGTACTACTGTCGCCGACATTAATGTCACTGGTTTCACTATTTGCTACATTATCCTTTCTTACTGACAATAACTTGGCGACGTCAAATAGTTCGTACATAATGCATGCACATAACTGTTTAGGCCTAATTAAATAAAACTAATGTGCAAACAAATATTCTTCAGCGAGTAACCATTCTTGTCATGTGCTAATTTGACCTTTGACATTGTTGATAAACATTAGAGTTATTTCCCTTTAATTTTATGGAGCACCGGTTGTGAAAGTATAAATTTCAATTGACTTCGGGCCAAATAAAGTTCATTATTCCGAACTCGACGGAAATATCGTAGACTTTGTGCTTGGATCTAACAATGAAAATCCCACACAGCAGAATACTATAAGGTCTGTCATATTGAGTCAAGTGCATGGCGTGGTTTCGATACCCCACGTGTAGGCCTACGTGACAAGAGCAGGGTCGCCTGTCCAACCTCGTGGGTTTTCTCCGGATGCTCCGGTTTCCTCTCCACTACTAAAGACCCCTATGCGCGAGCGAATTGTTGAAATAATATTGAACAAAATGATAGTCCAGAAATGACCTAGTGTTGAGTGGACGTTGAACCCCATTTTGATCGCAATGTTTTGAGTTATATCTTCCAAATTGAATTCTGGCTTAGAAATCTCAGGTCTTTGCATATTGGTTACAATTTTAGGATCGTAAAATTTTAATGCCTTTTGTGCAATTTTATCTTTCCGTTCGGATTTTGACAGTGCTTGGTTAGATCTATATCAGAAGGCCACCTGCAGATTTCCTCATGTAAACAGGTCTAGCGCGCTAATTCTAACCCCAACCCAAGACCTAGCCCAAAGCCTTACCCTTACCCCAACCCACAATCCTCGGCAGCAAACACGTGCCCTAACTCTGTTTACATCTCACGACCTTTGGGAAATCTGCGTTAGTACTCTTCAACGCGATTCTGTGAGTTATTTCCTTAAGTTACTGTTTTAGGGTGTCACGGTGGCTAAGTGGGTAAGACGCTGGCTCTCCGGCCTGGAGGTCGGGTGTTCAATCCCTGCATTGGCCGAGAAAGTTCATCCAGATTTTCCGGCGTGGCTTCCCCCCTTGTCAGTGATGCAGGACGGAGGGTCTGACAAGGACAGCTGTCTAGTCGTTCGGATGGGACGAAAAACCGAGGTCCCGTGTACACATTGGCGTGCACGTAAAAGATCCCTTGACAGTTGGAATTCGATATAAGAGTAGGCCGTAGTGCCGCTGTTTGGGCAAAATTTCCCTCTTAGCACACTGTATGGCGTATGCCCGTCTTCATTAGCCCAGTTCAGAGCAGAATAGTAGGACATTAAACCCCATTTCATTTAGATTTTGCGGTCCTGGAAATGAAATTATGGACAGCAAAGTTATTGATGGACATCTTTCAAGACCCTATCGAATTTCAGATTTTAAAGATAAATCTTTATTAATTAAAAGTTATATTCCAATAATTGCTGTATCCTAGAATCATTTTCAAGTAGGGGGATCACGGTGGCTAAGTGGGTAAGACGCTGGCTCGCTATCCTGGAGGTCGGGTGTTCGATACCTGCATTGGCCGAGAAAGTTCATCCAGATTTTCCGGCGTGATTTCCCCTTGTCAGTGATGCAGAACGGAGGGCCTGACAAGGACAGCTGTCTAGTCGTTCGGATGGGACGAAAAACCGAGGTCCCGTGTACACATTGGCGTGCACGTAAAAGATCCCTTGGCAGTTGGAATTCGTAATTGCTTATTGCCCCCTTTTGTGAACTCTCATTGTGGTGAATCTAAAGGTGTCAAAAGAGCAGTGATGAACAAGTAGATACGGATTCTTCGATTCTTCCGTATTCCCATACTGCTAAAGATCCGTGCGCGCTGTCAAATTATTGCTTCGGGATTTTTCAAGTCCTTGTGATGGCATTAAAAAGCGAAGCCAAGTCCGCAGGTGCGGTTTTGTCACATTTGACCAATTTCCCCAAATTGGGCCCTACACTAGAAAGGGGCCTCGCAGTTCATCAAATTAAACAATTTCCGGGCAATCTGGCAACAGGACTGCAAGGTGTGGCTAATTTCGGGTATAAATCAAAGCATTGTTGGCCTTAAACATACATTATGCAAGAGCTAAATCTGCCAATTGCAGGTCTTTCTCTAGGCTTGAAATGTAATCTAAATTATTAATTAGACATTTATTAACTTATCCAGACCATAATCAACTCTCGATGCCATCGCTAGCCTGCGATATTTAGCGGATTGGAATACATTTGTGAAGGATGATTAAACGTAAAAATAGATAATCGAGACTTTGTTTTTACTTTAGTAATTATGATTGAGACTAGCCTAAAATTCAAAAGCTAATATCTTGGTTCAGAGTGGAGCAATTTGACTGAAATTTTCAGCATATTCTATTTACGTTATTTCGTTTGTAACTATTATAGCGAGAACTATCAACTCTTTTTAATCTCTCATAATGTCAATTTAAATATGAATGAATATAGGCCTGTGTACCGCCGGTTAAACTTTCATCGTCTGAAATCAATTAGCTTCACACGTACTATATGAAATTATGATAAGGCTGACTTTGACCATCTACGACGTGACGCTGGGAGTATCTTATGGAACTCAACAATTAATAAAAATTCTATTGACATTACATATGCCGCCTTCACAAACGAGTTAATAAATTTGGCAAGAACACATATTTCAAACAAAACTGCAACCATTAGATTAAAAGACAAACTTTGGATGAACAACTCTATTCGGAAAATGAGCAAAAAGAAAAACAAAATTCACCGGAAACAGTAAAATCAAACTTGGACCTCGACTGGTAAAAATTTAGAAATATTAGGAATGATTATATCAGCTTGATTAGAAAATGCAAAAAAGAATACTATGAAAAATTAGACCAGAAATTAAATGATAATCAAAATTTTGGCAAAAAGGATTGGTGGCATATAGTCAACTTGTTTGTGGAGAGTCAAAAATCTGCAAAGGGGGATATTCCGCCTCTTATGAATAATGGGGTTCCATATTTTAATCCGAAGGGCAAAGCAAATAGTTTAAACGAATACTTTATTAACCAATCACAGCTTGACTACACAAAATCCCTTTTCACTTTGTCACCTAAAATTAACACCTACAGAGGTTGAAGACATGATTTCCATTATTGATACTTCAAAAGCTACAGACCCAGATAACATCAGTGGAAAGTTCCTGAAATCCATCTGCTTCGAAATTAGCAAACCTTTATGTAACATCTGGTGTGCCACATTTCTCCGTTCCCGGCCCTGCTGGTGTTCCACAGTTCTCCATTCTCGGTCCATTACTTTTCATTATATACATCAACGACATAGCATAAAATCAAACATAAGATTATTCGCTGATGACACTAGTTTATATATAAAAATAACTCACCCAACCAAATGTGAAGAAGTCTTAAATGGTGATCTAGAGAGAATGAATCTTTGGGCTAAGACGTGGCTTGTAACTTTTAACCCGCTTAAAACTGAAACACTAGCACTAGCAAATAAAAAGAATAAAAAGAATCCATTTCTTCCGACACAAAATGTAGATAAGGTTGCAATTAAAGAAGTTTCTGCGCACAATCACCTGGGGCTGACTTTCCAAACAAACTGCAAGTTGGATGCTCATATAACTAAGATTTGGCCAGAACATGTAAGCCAAAGCAACATCGCAACATATTTCTGCAGAACTTCTTTATTTTCTTCTTCTTCTATACCATCTACAATTAGAGAATGGAATCTACTAGAAACTTACCTACTTTATCCTCTTTTAAATCTAAACTCGGTTACCTTGATCAAATTATACCCTCAACATACTACTCTGGCAGCAGGAAAAATCAAATTCACCATTCTCGCCTTCGACTCTCTTGCAGTGATTTAACTGGACATCATTTTCTCAGACATATTTCTGACAGCCCTACATGTGATTGTGGTCACGCCTTTGAAGACTCTGAACATTTTCTTTTAATTTTCCCCTTAAATTACATTTGAAGATTCTGAACATTTTCTCCGCTGGTGCCCACTGTATTCAGATCCAGATGCACGAAAAAATACAATAAATCTTTTACCGTCACACCAGCAATCAACTAAACCATTTCTTTGTGACATGGATATTCAGGTTCGATGTCACCAGACGCTTCAATATTTTAATCATGTTATAAAACAGCACTTCCTCTTTTTTCATTTGTTATAAATAGTGTGTATATAACTTATTTAATTTATATGATTTTCACCATTATTTTATAGTATGTACATATCAGATCTGTATATTATATGCTTTATATTCCTTGTATGAGGAGAGGCGTGACATGGGCTATGCCTATTCCCTTATCCCTTTTCATAAATTGGAAATAAAAGATTGTTTACAAAAAAAGAAAGATGCACGATCTGCGACAATATCAAAACTCCCACAACTTTATCAAAATTCTAAAAGATTTTGAAAACTTTCTATGAAAATGTATGAAATATAAATCACCTGATTGTGGTTTGTACATATCGTGTATATAGTCATCTTATAATTTAATCGTTCCTCTACTTTTCTTATATATTTATGTTTGTACTTTTATGGAGAGGGGTCTATAGACTTCTGCCTGTTCTTCAATCAAGTTTCTGTGAATAAATATTGTTTAGAAAAAAAATATAGGCCTAGTTAAAGTTATTCATATCCTGCAATGTACTCATATCCTGTAACTTCGGTCCTCGCAAATTGGGCCCCGCATTTTCTACAACCGGCCTTGCAAGTCCGTTACACCTTAGAGTGCACGTAAAAAAATTGACAGTTGGAAACGTCACCATCCGGCCGAAATACCCCAACCCTGCAGTGTACACAGAACCATAGAAATAATATCTCCCATAATTATATTATGTGTGACACAAAAGGAAGTACATGACAATGTATTATGTTTACGAGATATTAAACTCTATTTCATTTCATTAAATGTGTGAACTGCACCTAGTCATCCTACATTATATATAGGTCTAGTTGTTTAAAAGGTCAATTACAATCTATGTACATAGGAACGTTATTTGTTTGTTTATTCTCTGGTTATAATTATTCGTTTCAAATTTCATGTATTTTTTTGACACATAACTTTAAAGGCACAGCATGCCTAATTTTTCACACATATCCCAAAAGTCAAAAATAATATTATATGCTTTAATTTGATATTT